AAAATTAGAAATTGAAATTTAAGTACCTTCCTGTTGTCAGATTAATCTGAAATTTGGTACACACCTTTAGTTCCGATGACAATACAATATAGTAATATCAATAACATTGTAAATCTAAGATGGCCGCCGGTACAAAATGGCGGATTTCATATTTTTCCACAACCCCCTCAATATGGGTATCAAATGAAAGGGCTACACTAGTAGAATACTGTGATTATGACAAAATTTAAAATCCAAGATGGACGTCGTTACAAGATGGCGTATTGGGTGAGGGCATGAGTAGTCGTGTCCAGAACAGTTGTATCCAAGATTGTGTGACGTTAGAAGGACAGATAAAAAAAAAATAGGTGATTAGATGTACCTACGTAGTTAGCGGTAGCTTTACCACCCAAGTTAAGGTAATAGGTTAAAACGTGCTGAGGACTGTATGGCATTAGGGTGGCTAAAAATGTAATGTCGCATGCGTTTTCCCCTCAAGATTGGGCGCCTCTTGTTGTATATTATAGCCTTGCCCCTCTACTGGACCTCTGGGGGGGTCGACCGTTAAAATGTCCATTACTCGTGGGAACTTCAAAACCAAAGTGATGAGTTTGCAACAGACAAAGCGTTAAGAGTATACCCCACTAATCAGCAAGTAAACAATCACAACGCTGCTGTTTTAAATCTATTCCGGAATAAGGGATCTCGAATTTATACCATTAAAGCACAGGACCAACTAATTGACGCCACACGAAATACAGATAATTTAAATTTAGCAAATATAATACCAACAGATATAAATAAGACTGGAGGCTTACCATCAGTACTTGAAATATTTGTAGGAGCAAAAGTAATGTTGCGGTCCAACATTGACGTTACAAAAGAATTGGTAAATGGTGCTATAGGCCACATTACAGAAATTGTTTGGCCTCAGTTCCGTCGAACCCAAATGTACGAAACAGATTTACCATCAGTTTGGATTGACTTTGGCAGACGGCATACACGTTATACACCCGAAAGCCATACAGTTTCCAGCAAAATTCAATTATGGTACGGCTGAAAGAAGGATGTTACCCTTAATTTTGTCATGGGCATCCACCGTCCATAAAATGCAAGGCAGCACAGTCGACCATGCAGTAGTGTATTTGGGCTCAAAATTGTTTGAGGAAGGGCAAGCATACGTGGCTCTAAGTCGAGTCAAGTCTCTGGAAGGGCTATGTATTGAGGAATTAGATTGTAATAAATTATCAGGTAAAAAACCATGTAATAATGATGCACTAAATGAATTAAATAGAATGAGGAATATTCGGTAGGCATTTCCGTTAAATACTAAAAACTAGAAAATAAAAAATCGGTAAAAAAACTTTTAAGTTAAACGGTTGTGATCTTATGTGCACTGAAAACTAGAAAATAATAATAACAATTAGGTATTTTGAACTTCTAGTTCAGAAGTATTTTAGTACTAGGCAGAATAGCTTTTAGGCATATTAGACTAAAATGAAAACGTGGGGCCCATTAACTATTGCTGTAATACTTTCTTCTATACTAAGTATGGATTGCATCGACTTACTATAATCGTAACTGGAGTTTTTGACAATCAATAACCAGCCGTGGCGGCTTCACCAGCGAACGCCGAGCTCATGATCTACCAAAGTATAAAGATATGCTTTGCCATAGGTAGGATTTCAGAGGGGCCCCACGTTTTTATTTTAGTCTAATACGCCTAAAAGCTATTCTGCCTAGTACTAAAATATTTTTGAACTAGAAGTTCAAAATACCTAATTGTTATTATTATTTTCTAGTATTCAGTGCACATAAGATAAAACCGTTTAACTTAAACGTTTTTTTACCGATTTTTTTTCTAAATCAGAATAGAATATCTCGAGAAATATCCTTTAAAAGGGATATAATAATATTCTCGCCGGTGAATTTTTGTTATTTTTATCCTGTTAGCGACATTTTTATGCCCCCATTAATTCTGGTTAAACACGAAAACAACACCTACTTATTGATCTTAATAAAAATTATTCAATTTAATATTCCTAATAGGTGTTATATGTCGTATATTATATTTCATATTACTATCTATTACTGTAATGCTACACGTTCGAATATATATATTCTTTAATCACGCTACTGTTATTATGAAATTATTTTAATATTCATAAAGATATCCATCCACTACCGTACTTATTATTCAATTATTATACTGTAATCTCCCACGCTTTCAACAGATATCATTTCCTTGTTATAAGACTGTGTATTTTTCTTGATTTTTATCTATATTATCTTAATATTTGCATACAGAAATGAACGGGAAGCAGGAAAAACAATATAACTAAATCTAAATAACTAAAAGAAAGTCGTTTTTTTTATTTTTTAATTTCCGATTATGGTGTAGCCTCCCTCACATATTTAGATACTCTCTTTGTAGTTGGGCCCATTGTTGTCTATTTTTGGCTATGCTGCCGAAGTTTCCGGAATACAATTCGGACCACCCTGTATAATGTATCATGACCATAGACTTAAAATAAAATATAGACTGAGCATCTCATTCATAAATAGCTGGAACATGCGGTCAGACAATATCTTGTTATTGTTGTGTTATTGTTTTAGGTTATAACGAGTGCGACACGAGCGATAGATAGGTTGTCTCTGTCGTAACGGTCGTTCCCTGACGACTCTGCCGAGAAACACAACACTGTCTTTCGTTTCTCAAGTACACCTGAACTCTCCGTCTCATAGCCGGGTAATTTTTTTATTTTAATGAAGCTATAATTAAATTAAAAGTATATCGTATTTAAACTTTTTTCTATTTTATTAAGATTTAGGACAGGTTTTTTAAATAAAAGTTTAGAAAAAACGTCTTAGAGTCAAAAAAGGATAAAAATAATAAAATACACGTTATAGAAGAAATTTTATAATCGAAATTACGTAATTTTTGAAATTAATAATAAATTATTAATTTTAGTCAAACATTTACAACCCCTAATATTAATCAAAACAGGATCTATTCCACAGATATAATAGAATCGGCGACAGGGAGAGAAAAAAAAATATGTTTGTTGTAATTTTTTCTCTGGTTAAGTGATGTCTTTATGTATAATGTAAATTAGAGAAAACATAAATCTGTTCCATTAAAGCAAGGAAGATGGTAGGAAGTGGATAAAATGAAAACTACATTTATTTAACTCCGTACTGTCTTTATTATACCGGGTGCGTCCCAAAAGTGGCTCATCCCCATAATTTTTTTATATTTTCAAATAAAAAAACAAGATTTAGCATGTTAGTATATGACATAAATTAGGATTGATTGACGCATTCAATTGTTTTTGGTCACTTCCTGTTTCACCGGAAATGACAATAACTTTTAATTTTAAAACGGCACCCTCGGAATATTTCTACTTTATTCGATAGAAAATGACACTCTGAATAGAATGACATATAATATGTCAACTTTTGACATTTTCGCATATGGTTTAATTGTAATTGTAACACGCGGTTCATAACGACAATTTGACTCGAAATACCAAGTGTGTGGTATCAATATATTCATAAAAAAAAATGTTTTTTTCCAAATATGCTAATGAGTCACCCTTGTTCCATTTGAAAAAATTGACATATGTATGATTAAAAATACGATTTGTACATCTTTTAACCGGCCTAGACAAGACACGAAACCTATTAGACGATCAAAACTATTTTTCCAAGGCTCCTTGATTAAAACTTAGTGTTTTAACAACACCATGGCACCCTGGATTGAAATTTAAAATAGGATTTGTTTTTAAGCGACAATGTCAAAAGTTGACATATGATATGTCATTCTATTCAGAGTGTCATTTTTATCGAATAAAGTAGCAATATACCGAGGGTGCCTTTAAAAAAATCAAAATATGTAATCATTTCGGTGAAACAGGAAGAGACCAAAAACAATTGAATACGTCAATAAATCCTAATTTATGTGATATACCTACTAACATACAAATCTGTTTTTATCTGAAAAAATAAAAGTTATAGGGGTGAGCCACTTTTGAGACACCCGGTATATTAAAAAATATTGTTTCATAATGTAATATCATTTTAAAATTCTTGTATGTTATTTTAGATTCTGAAGATAATTTTAGAATAAACCGGAATATATTTTTAATAAAAACATTATTTATTATTAACAGGGTTATAATTATGATTTTGTTACAATGTAAGTAAGTAAATAATGTAATGTAAGAGAAAAAAATCAGATTTTACATTTTACTAAAATATTATCTAAATAAGCGCCTTTCTACAACAACGCCACTGACTCCCAATGGGTAAATTGAGAGTTGCCTACCGGTCAAAAGTCGTTTCAAGACTTAAATGGATTATTAAAGTCAAATTTCTTGCAAATTTGGCACTGGCGAACCATATTTTATAGTTTTTGAACAGAAAAAGTCAATAAAATAAACAATTAAGGACTACAAGCTAAGAAAATGCGTTAATACAGCCGCGGAGATAGCGGCAACAAAGCTTTACCGCACACGTGCGACACGTACTACAAGGTAATAAATGAATGAATAGGCTCCCTCGCCTCTAATCGGTGTTGTCATATTGTAAAGAACTTATCCTTATTAAACAGTATCCGACTTATAATTTAGTAGTATAAGGACTATTTAATACATCTATGGAATATTAAAACCTACTTTATTAAACTGTAGTATTAATATCTCAATATATGTGTATAACAAGAAAAAAAATATTGATAATATTAAAGACGTGACAACATAGGCTGGATGAGGAAGGCTCGGTCGACTGTACCCAGAAGTGAACATGTGTACAAAAAAGGTTGTTTGTCCGCGTTGAGATGTAAATAGTGTAGTCTATATTTTATTTTAAGTCTATGATCATGACATATTTAAGATCTTTGTGATTTTTAGACATTATCAGAGACATTATAACAATTAGAACTCCTAAAACTAGATAGAGAATTAATATTTTTATTTTATTTCAATATTCTTTTCACGACTATTTTTTCTTTTTTTCCACAGGGACAAGTTCGATAACGGACCGCACTGACGAAGGCGAAGAGCTCTGGGCCAAATGGAGTCACATAGTGAACAACTGGGAGGAACAGTGGAAGAAGCAAAACGGCAACATACGCGAGCTGGTGCGCAGAGGCATCCCTCTACACTTCCGCGCTATCGTGTGGCAGTTGCTCTGCGCAGCCGCCGATGCGCCCGAGAAGAAACTCTACGCTGAATATATCAAGGTAGTTATTTTTGAAGTTTCGTCTATCCGTGTTTAAAATCCTGATTCGCATTTGAAGACTATTATTTAGAGTTGATACCATGCTCGCAATTCTTACTTTTGGGTTCGTATTTACATGTGTGGACAGTGTTGCCAGAAATTTTTCAACGGAGCCTTAAAAACCTTCATATTCCTTCAACTTCACAAAAAATCCCAGATCTTGTGAAAAATCACCAAATTTCCAAAAAAAAATAAAAACTTATTTCTGGTAATTTTTGGACACCAATGTATTTATATAAACTTTTTATTAAAAAAAAACACGATCAGAAATACTGTGATAGATATCCGATAAAAGTATTATAAAGTATGTTTCAAAAATTTAATTGCCTACAATGACTGCTCGAACCGAGAATAATTAATCGCGGATGACACCACGATCAGCTGACCAGATATGTTTTCCGTTTACCTATTTATTTCTTTTCAACATCAAGAACATTGGTTTAGTTATGGTATGTGTGTAATAAGACGTGTTGAAAGACAAAAATGTATCTATTAATTTTTTGTTAAATGTTAGAATCTTTCGAATTGCGGACTTTTTGACAGCGACATTGCTTTAAACTAAGGCATCTTTAATTAAACACCGTTAAAGTGAAAAAATACACACACCGGAAAAATCTAGGGATATCATTTTAATAAAGTTAAAAATAAATGTTTTGAATAAACAACCACATATTTGTAGGCCGATTCTTTCTACTTCGATTGACACGAAGTAGTCACACTAGTTATTTCTAAATTTGGGATATTTGCAGAAGTGTTTGAGCATTTTTTGTCAAATGTATAAATAGCACCTAGCATCAATTGTTCGAATTTAACCTGTACCGGCTATGTTTTTATGATAACTGGCCAAAATTCATTCAAATAACTCTGTTTAGTATTAAACGACATTATGGAGCGTAGACATCTTAACAGAGACGAAATGCTAAGGGCCATGGGTATGCTCGAAGCTGGAATGCGCCAAATCGACGTAGCTAGAGCATTAAATACAACGCAAAGTGTAATATCGCGATTAAGTGCACGCTACCGTGAAAGTGGTGATGTTGCTGAAAGACACACAGGACGACATCGCATTACTACCCCTCAGCAAGATCATTTTTTACAATTAAATGCTCGACGCCGACCGACTCTTACAGCACCAGAGCTTAGTTTAGTTCTCCAGGAAACACATAATGTAACCGTTAGTCCTGACACTGTTCGCAATAGATTAAGAGAGGGCAACTTAAGAAGCAGACGCCCCTGGAGAGCTCAACCCTTAACGAGAGGAAATCGAGAGGTACGATATTTGTGGGCTCAAGATCATGTTCAGTGGTCGAATGAACAATGGGCCAATGTTCTCTTCACGGATGTGTCACGCTTTGGAATTCATCCGGATTCGAGAAGGCTTAGGGTATGGAGAGAACCGGGAAATTTTATTCGGTTGGATCATGTTCAGGAAGTGCACCCTTATCAAGGTGGAACAGTTATGGTCTGGGGAGGAGTCCAGTTAGGCCGAAAAACCGATCTTGTTTTTCTTGAAAGGTTTCTAACAGGAATCACATATCGTGATTTAATTCTTGAGCCTGTCGTGTTACCATATGCCAATGATTTTGGGAGAAACTTCATTCTCATGCATGACAATGCACGGCCTCATACAGCCAGAGTGGTAAGTGAGTTTATCAATGCTCATCAATTAAACATCTTACCCTGGCCGGCACAATCTCCTGACCTCAACCCCATCGAGCACGTATGGGACGCGGTCCAAAAAAAGAATTTTGAGAATGGGTATGCCTCGTGAAACTCGTATGGATCTGGTTCGGGTCGTGAATGATGCGTGGCAGGCTGTACCTCAAGAAGAGATGGACAACCTGATCAGGAGCATGGAGAGACGATATAGGGCTATAATGAACAGTAGAGGAGGCCATACCCTTTATTAAGTAAAAATGGTTTTATCTTTTTTTTTAATTCACAGTTTAGAATTTAAAAAAAATGTGTGTATTTTTTTGAGTTCAATAAAAATCAAGGTAAATTTGAAAAATTCGGTAAATTTCGCATTTTTATTTCCAATACGTCCTGTACGAAATTAATTGTTTATTTTAATTTTGTTATATCAGAAAAGCAAATAATAAAATTACTGAGGATGGCTGGATAAAATTGTAATATCCCTAGACTTTTCCGGTGTGTGTAGATGTAGGAAAAACAATAAATACTCCTATTACATATTTTAACAATTTTTTAATTGACAACAACCATCATTTTATAAACAGGTTATTTAGGGTGTATTCCGTTGCTTAAATTGGTTATAGTTTTATGTTCCGTTTCTATCGGTTTCCTGAAAGTTTTCTTATTACGGAACACGGTTCCTGAAAAATTCGGTTATAACTGTCACCAAATTAACCATCGCGAGAAGGCTGGTTTTTCTCGTTTTGTTTGTCAATCAATGTCATTTATGCGACAGAAATCAAGCAAATATTGGAAGTTCGAGTGAAATTTTCATTTAATTCCTAAAATTTGTAATAATATTTTGTATTTACATCCAAAAGCAATGGTGGTAGGCAGTTAACTAAATAAAATGACTTTTTAGGACCATTTAAACTTGTTCAGCATTGTTTCTTAAAGTCAGGAACATTTAAAGAAAACATGAAAAACAAGACAAGTAATCGTGAATGTTTTGTAAGCTATAAAAATATAAATATTGATTAGATTTGTTTATTATTGATCTGTTTTAATATTGGACCTGAAATCTTGACTTGATCTGTCTAACGAGTTTAACATTTTATTAATATAAAGTACTTTTCATTATTAAATTCGATTGAAAACAAGAAGCAAACGTAAAAGCAGAGAATAGGTACATTAAAAATGCATAAAAGGTAAATTTTATAACAGAGATATTGAAATTTAGAAAACGTCAACATTTTACGTTTCCAGTATTTTACCAAACCGTTCCGTATCAAACCGATGTTTTTCAGGAACCGCTCTTTACCGTAGTTTATCGGTCTGGTTCGCATGGTTTTGCAACGGAATACAGCCTTAGTAGAATTGTAACCTGGCAAAAAACAAAGTTCCTACCAACAACGTTAATACAAATATACTGGAAGATTAATAAATGCAACATTTGTGTCGTTTTAAAATGGGCCAAAATATACTAAATTCAGTAAGAAATTAAATTATCTATGTACCATGGGAATTATAACACCCTTATAATTATTTTGATACATAAATACTAACTATTTTTTTGTTACTAGACGAAATCTCCATGCGAAAAAGTGATTCGACGCGACATAGCTAGGACCTATCCAGAACATGACTTTTTCAAAGAAAAGGATGGACTAGGACAAGAATCCTTGTTTAATGTCATCAAAGCTTATTCTTTGCACGACCGCGAAGTTGGATACTGCCAAGGCTCTGGATTCATTGTAGGACTCTTACTAATGCAGGTACGTATCCAGAAATTATTTCTTTCATTAACAGTAAGTTGATTTCATTAAAAAATTAATTCTTTTAATTCGCGCCATTTTGTTTTGTTACTACAACATTTTAAGAATATCACCATTCAAAAATAATTTATTTTTGGTTTTCCCTCATTTATTTTTCATTCAATTCTTTCTCATTTCTTTGTGATTAAGCCACGATTTTTCAAAATTTCTTTTTTACTAAGCCGCTACCAAACACCAAAGGCCTCACTGTGAGTATCTGTCATTTGTCAAAAATGTTTAGTGTAAACGCACCATTTTACGCATGAATAAATAATTCCTGTTTAGATAAAAAAACCTTTGATATTTTTTATTCGTTTTTTTTGTACAACTGTCAAAATATGACAATACTTTTTCTTCTTTACAAACAGATGCCTGAAGAAGAAGCGTTCGCCGTGCTAGTCAAGATCATGCAAGACTACCGTATGCGGGACATGTTCAAGCCCAGCATGGCCGAATTGGGCGTGTGCATGTTCCAACTGGAAAACCTGGTCGCCGAGCAACTTCTCGATCTCAACCAACATTTCCAGTCGCAGAACTTTCACACGTCTATGTACGCCTCTAGCTGGTTCCTTACCCTCTTCACCACCGCCCTGAGTCTACCTCTTGCCTGTCGAATCATGGACGTGTTTCTTTCCGAAGGCATGGAAATCATATTTAAAGTTGCCCTGGCCATGCTGACTCTGGGCAAAGACGACCTAATGTCGCTCGACATGGAGGGTATGCTCAAGTACTTCCAAAAAGAACTACCGGCTAAAGCTGAGGCTGACCCCGAAGGTCTGCTTCAGCTAGCCTACAGCATGAAATACAACGCTAAGAAAATGAAGAAGTTAGAAAAAGAATATCACGTGATTAAGAGCAAAGAACAGGAAGAAATGACCGAGTTAAAGGTAAGGATTAGGGTTTCCGGAACCGGAGATAACGCGTTTTTTTGGTACTTTCGGTACTGACTAATTTTTCAGTGGATCAGTTCATCAATCAGAAAGGAAGGGATGGGTTTTCAAAGTAAAATTGATAAAAAATTGAGATTTTTAATGAAAATAATAGCAAATTATTAAGTAATCAGTAATGAAAAATTAACATGAACACAATTAAAAAAAAAGTATAGGTAACTTAAATTTCACATCAAACAACATAAACCAACTTAACTGAATTTGAGACAAAAGCCCTCCAATATTGAATTAAAAATGCAAATATCTATTAAAACAATAAATAATAAATATTATAGGAACTTCAAAAGAGAAAAGAAGCAAGAACAATAAGAAATAGCATCATTACTTATTTAGTAGAGTTTGATTTCGACCGCTAGAAACTATGAAAGGACTTTCTCACGTAACAAAAAAATATTTTTTTTAAATATTGTTACCAAGGCCTGGTTCTGTGATGGCCAAAAAGGTCTAAACCCTAATTCTTAGTATTAATTACAGTTTCCAGAACCGTAATAAAATATTTTCGTTCAACGATTGTGGAGTTTAGGGAATGCAATCCCGCAAATGCGGGATCCCTCTGAGATTCCGCGGGATCAAAGTTGCGGGATTTACCGAGGCGGGATCGATACATGGGTAACCGAATCGATCTCAATCAAGATCAAACCGCTTCGTTCGGGGCCGATGCGATGCGTCGACGCTCGGAACCCGGGGGATTCCCCTTACGGCCTGGCCATTAAAAATAAGTGAAACAAACAGGTTAGTTGTTAGATTTCTTTCTGGCGTATGTGAAGTGAAGAAAAGCGTTTAACTAGTACTCGTGGACGATTTCGTCAAATAAACCGCGGGACATAATTATCGGGACAAGCAAAATTTTAGGGTAAATTTAAAGTTGAATATCTCTTGAACTAAAAAAGATTTTTGGATTCGGTTTGGACCAGGTTTTAAATGCATCTATTGTGATTAAAATGCTATGTGGTTTTCGAAAATATATTCAGTGAATTCTCGTATACAGGGTGTTTTATAAGAGTGTGAAAATTTGGTTAAGAATCTTTTTTACCGCAAATTTACAATTTTTAAAAAATCGAAATTTTTACCAAGTACAACGAATCTGTATTGAAATTAGAAAAAACAATTTGATCGGTTTTTAATTTTTTTTTGTTTTAAGGAAAATACGACGTTTTTTTTCGAAAAATATGCATTTTTAGGTCATACGTATGGTCCTAAATGGTACAAAAAGCTTTGTACATTCTGCATATGCCAAAAAATTATTCATATAGAGTGTATCTAAAAGCAGATAACTAACACAAGTTAAAAAAAAAACTTCAACATCAGAATAATATTTTTATTTATAAAATAAGTAGATAAATTGTAATAAAATTTAAGTTTATTTAATATTAAATATATTTTTTGAACACTCTGTATACATCGGTCCAAATTTCTGTACATCTAGTTTAAGATACACGCTATATCAATATATTATGGGCCTATAGCAAAATGTACAATGCCTTTTGTACTATTTAGGACCAAAAGTATGACTATTGTTTACAGTCCCGCAATTTTGCGGATCCGCGGGATTGATTGCTTTAATCCCGCGGGTTTGCGGGATTGAGATTTTGGTGCGCGATTGCATTCTCTAGTGGAGTTCGTCAAAATAAAACCGATAAAAAATTGAGTTTCAAATGAAAATAATATTAAATTATTAAGTCATGAGATAGTAAACATGAACACAAATAATGACCACAAGCGAAAAAAAAAGAAAAAAACATAGGTAGCTTAAAAATTAGTTCAAACAACAACCAACCTCGAGATCAACTTAACTAATTTGAAAAAAAAACTTTCATTTTCAATTCAAGATGCAAATGCCTATAAAAACTTAACACAAAATATATAACTAATACATTTAGCAATAATAAAATAACATATTTAAACTTCAATATTTGCTAATAAATATTATAGAAACTTTTAGAAGTAAGAACAGTAAGAGACAGCATCGCTACTTATTTAGAAGAGTTTGATTTCGACCGCCTAGAAAGTATCAATAGTCTTTCGCACGTAACAAAAAATATGTTTTTAATTATTATTACCGAGTCCCGAAAGTACCGAAAGAACCGGGAATTAATAATTTCGAGTCACGGTTCTTTGATGTCTCAAAAGTTCTCCGGTTCTGAACCCTAGTAAGGATTATTATATTCACAGGGTGATCAAGTATTTTTGTAGCAAGACGTTATATACATTGTTAATTTTTGACAGAGATTAAGAACTGAAAACAAACAATTGAGGCATCGGTGCGAGATGTTAGAAGAAGAGAGTAAAGCCCTGGCAGATCGTTTGGTTCGAGGCCAAGTCAGTAGAGCTGAGGAAGAAGAAACAACATTCGTTGTACAAAGAGAGTTAGAACTTTTACGTCATACTCATTTAGACACCACCCATCAGTTAGCCTTAGCCAATGAGAAAATTCGTTCCTTATCGCTTCTAATGGAAGAAAATGTAAAATAATACTATAAATTTAATGTTTCTAAAACTAATTTAATGGATTTTTAGCATTCTTCCAGGCAGTCGTCCATAGAAGAAATCACACTCAAACAAGAACAATTGCAACAGAGAGAAGAGATGATTGAATGTCTGCAAGAGGAGTTGGTGAAAGTTAGGTTAAGGGAAGCCGAAAACGACGCTTTAATACGAGATTTGAGATCTAGAATACACGAATTAGAAGAGGTAATTTCCCCACTAAATTATTCTATATTAAGTTATATTTTTCTAACGATATTAATATCAAACAGGAGATATTTAAAACTGAAGTAGTTGGGTTAATCATTATTCAAACTGAAGCATTCTAAATTATAACGAAGCACTTTTAATGTGCTTTAAAACTGAAGCAATTTTATTTACATTATTTACAAGAACACTTTTAGTCAAAATGAATTAAGAATATAAGCATGATAAGGCGATGATTAAAATAGCTTCGGTTTTAATTGAAGCAGTTTAATAATCGATTACACTGAAACAGTTTTAAATACATAATTAATACGAGCAGACTGAAGCAAACCGAAGCAGATTTTTTAATAATTATAACTGCGAAGAAGCGGTTAAGAACCGAAAAAAGCGGTTTTAATTGCCACTAAAATTGGATTAGCTTTAATTTTTATCAAAACTGAAGCAGTTTTAATCCTCTTTAAAACTCTGAAGCAAATTTAATTTTTATTAAATTTGAAGCAGTTTTAATCTTCATTAAAACTGAGGCAAATTTAATTTTCATTAAAACTGAAGCAGTTTTAATCATTAAAACTGAAGCAAATTTAATTTTTATTAAATATGAAGCAGTTTTAATCCTCTTCAAGAATGAGGCAAATTTAAATCATTAAGAATGATGCAAACTGAAGCAGTTTTAATCCTCTTTAAAACTGAAGCAAATTTAATTTTTAAGAAATTTGAAGCAGTTTTAATCGTACTTAAAACTGAAGCAAATATATTTTGTCAAAACTGAAGCAGTTTTAATCCTCTTTAAAACTGAAGCAAATTTAATTTTTATTAAATTTGAAGCAGTTTTAGTCTTCCTTAAAACTGAAGCAAATTTAATTTTTATTAAATTTGAAGCAGTTTTAGTCTTCCTTAAAACTGAAGCAAATTTAATTTTTATTAAAATTAAAGCAGTTTTAATCTTCATTAAAACTGAGGCAAATTTAATTTTCATTAAAACTGAAGCAGTTTTAATCATTAAAACTGAAGCAAATTTAATTTTTATTAAATATGAAGCAGTTTTAATCCTCTTCAAGAATGAGGCAAATTTAAATCATTAAGAATGATGCAAACTGAAGCAGTTTTAATCCTCTTTAAAACTGAAGCAAATTTAATTTTTAAGAAATTTGAAGCAGTTTTAATCGTACTTAAAACTGAAGCAAATTTAATTTTTATTAAATTTGAAGCAGTTTTAGTCTTCCTTAAAACTGAAGCAAATTTAATTTTTATTAAATTTGAAGCAGTTTTAGTCTTCCTTAAAACTGAAGCAAATTTAATTTTTATTAAATTTGAAGCAGTTTTAGTCTTCCTTAAAACTGAAGCAAATTTGATTTTTATTAAAATTGAAGCAGTTTTAATCTTCATTAAAACTGAGGCAAATTTAATTTTCATTAAAACTGAAGCAGTTTTAATCATTAAAACTGAAGCAAATTTAATTTTTATTAAATATGAAGCAGTTTTAATCCTCTTCAAGAATGAGGCAAGTTTAAATCATTAAGAATGATGCAAACTGAAGCAGTTTTAATCCTCTTTAAAACTGAAGCAAATTTAATTTTTAAGAAATTTGAAGCAGTTTTAATCGTACTTAAAACTGAAGCAAATATATTTTATCAAAACTGAAGCAGTTTTAATCCTCTTTAAAACTGAAGCAAATTTAATTTTTATTAAATTTGAAGCAGTGTTAGTCTTCCTTAAAACTGAAGCAAATTTAATTTTTATTAAATTTGAAGCAGTTTTAGTCTTCCTTAAAACTGAAGCGGATTTAATTTTTATTAAAATTGAAGCAGCTCTAATTTTTATCAAAACTGAAGCAGTTTTAATCCTCATCAAAATTGAGTCAAATTTAATTTTTACTAAAATTGAAGCAGTTTTAATTGTCATTTTAAATCGTTTTTCTTAAAACTGAAGCAATTTTAATCTTTATTAAAACTCACGTAGTTACCGAAACGTTCCTCCAGATTTATAAAAATGCGCTTTGGCATATACATATGGCGTACAATATAAATGATCATTAAAATTGAAGCAATTTTAATAACAAATAAAAATATTGCAACTTTAATTATCACTAAAAGTGGAGAGTATTTAACAATCTCATAACCATATTACGATTATCAGATGATTAAAGCTGCTTCGGTTTTTATTGAATCAAATTTAATCTAATGTAGGCTAAATCTACTGAACACTTAAGCAGTTTTAATGATATTTGAAATTGAAGGACTTTTAATTTTCATTAAAACTGAAACTTAGTTGCTTCACACTTAACTGAAGCAATTTTAATTTGATAACTGCAGCAGATTTGGTATATGTAGCCTAAATCTACTGTACACGTAAACAATTTTAATAACAATAAAAGTAAAACTGAAGCATGGTTACATAACATGCTTTCAGAGTCGTAAAAAAGCATTTTAGTGTATCGTTTCTTTGTAATACAATAAGTTCTAAACTAAATTGTATACAAACGTTTATAGGAGAAGAAAACTCTAAGAGAAACGACTCCCGACAATAGCGTAGCTCACCTACAAGAAGAACTAATAGCGGTAAAACTTCGAGAAGCTGAGGCAAACTTGTCCTTGAAGGACCTGAGACAGAGGGTTTCAGAGCTCAGTAATCAGTGGCAAAGGCATTTACAGGTAAATTACATAAGTCTTGAAGACATTTTAATTACGATTTTACCATGATTCTTATGTATTTCAGGAGCACAGGCCTGAATCCAATAATTCCGGTGAACATACGGCACACAGTACTCCAAAGAAGTTACTTTTCTGGGAGAATAGACACAATGAAACTCAGAAACTCGAAGAGGAGTTGATGACTACCAGGATAAGAGAAATGGAGACTCTTACCGAAGTGAAGGAATTGAGATTAAAGGTAATATCCTAATACTGTGGGTAACACTTTCGCTCAGTATCTTCCCAGATTTATACACGTTGCATAAAACCAATTTTAATCAATAAAATATTTGAAAATATTATAAAATGTGTGAACAGTGCAACAAACTAACAAAACTTCAATTTTGCCACGTGAGAAATGTCAAAGAAAACAATAATTGTAAAACCTCTAAACTATCCCGGAAATGTTTTACGAAATATTTCTGGAAATATTTCGTGAAACATTTCGCAAAACATTTCTAGAAATACTTTCAGAAGTAAACTCAAAATAAGGCTGTGCTATAAAAATTAGTTCCCACGTTTCCTTAAATATATACATAATCTAACCAAACAAACAATCACGGCGCGTCTCGATCAATTTCTGGAAACGTGGGTCCCAGGTGGGACCCTCCACTGCGGCCGCGAGGGCCTATTGTGGCTCAGTTTCTACAAGCTCTTTAATAGAAAAAAAGCATTAAAGTTCACCCTCAAGACCCAGCCTTTTAACATAGGCCGTTATGTCCGAGGGTGATATGTCTTCTAGGTCTGATAGGTCTTGCGTGGGTTTGCCAAACACCTCAAACCTGGTCCTGCCCCCAGCGGGGCAGGTACACATAACGTGCTTCATTGTTTCGTCATCTTCCATACAGAGTCAGCATTCGGCGTCTTCCACCAGTCCCATCCTCTGTAGGTGTGATCTCAGCCGGCATTGGCCCGTGTATACTGCAGTAAGCGTACGCGCTCCGTTCCTACCAGCCTTTAGGAGTTCATCTGTTCTACGTTTGGATGGCCCTGCTAGGATTGTCTTGGCATGTTCCATTCCGGGACTGTCATACCAGTCCCGGAACGTCGCACTCCTAACCCATTCACAGAGCCTGTCTCTTGCGAGATTTTTTGGTACGCTAAGTGTCGGTTCTGGGCCCACGAATGGCGAGCCTGCACCAGTTTTGGCGAGGGAATCAGCACGTTCGTTTCCCTCTAGGCCGACATGTCCCGGTATCCATATTAGCGACACTATGTTCCTATCTCCTAATATATTGAGTAGTTTCTTACAATGAAGAATCGTCATGGACGTGCTTTTCGTTGCCTCAAGTGCTTTCAACGCAGCTTAACTATCCGAAAATATGCTTGTCTTCTCAGTGTATTGCTGTTCTACCAGCAGTTGCACACAGGTTTCAATAACATATAGCTCAGCTTGGAAAATTGTGGTGATTCAAATGCGGTGAAAAAATCTCAGTCTTTGGACTGCTGCAGTAAATTCCTGCGCCAGATCCTTTATCGTTTTTGGATCCGTCCGTTTACCAACACATTTCCGCAAGTTCGTCCCTATTCGGAAACAGGACGTTGTAGGTGCGCGTCAAGAGTTGGATTGATGGTGTGAGATCCGAGACCATTCCCAGAATCTCATCCGATTGTCACGGGCTTATATTTATCGTACTATTTTATGAAAGAGCACGAAGCAATCACCCAAGTAGCATTTGGACGTTATCTAACGTCGGGTATACGTCGCGTTCAATAAACCCGGTTCGACCGCCTGACGACCCGTATTTGCACCTAAATGGGGAATACAGATTCGGGTCGCCTCGACGTCGGTATCTGACCTAATAGGGAATGTAATTCTACCAGTTACCAACGTCATATTACGTTGGATTTTATTCACTTAAAATTCGTCGCTAAGCACTTACGTTACTTTTGGTTTCATATTCGCTACCAAGAATACATAAAAACCTAACCAAACTACCTAATTACAAATGGATTCGTAATAACTCCTCGAATATAACTATAAGTGCCTACCTAATTTCATATTATAATAATTCTGAATCATTAATCCAGACATCAGTTTTGTCAATGGAAGTAACTTTTTTGATATATCCGATTAAAATACTCCAGAAAACAACGAGCGCCTTCAAAATTAGGTAGATTTATGAAATAAAAATATCTATAAAAAAGTAACTCGCAAAATATTTTTTTTATTTTCTAGCTGGTTTAATCATAAAATTGTACTGTGGTTCCCCCCAAAATCAACCTTATCAATATTATTCTACTAGAAATCGGAATGTGAATATAAATTTTAAAAACAAAAAACGATTTTAAAATGGCTGACAATCGGATACTTGTTAAGAATGGCGGATTTCTGTTTCCGACTTAATATGAACTACCAATATACCAATTCCGACCGGGTCTCCAACATAAGTCGTCTCACACGACCGAAGTCATCAAACCGGACGACCGGCAATCGTATTATGACGTATATAATTCCAACGTACGCCACGTAACCTCACTTTGCGTATCAGTGATTTGTGGATTTGTGCAACTATATTTTAGTTTTTGTTTTCTCCTTAAAAAATGGACAGCCACATTTTTAAGATAGTATATATACAAAATTTAAAAGAATTGGAACCAGTACCTCACATGTGGGAGGAGGATGGAGTCTGCTGGTTTCCTAAGCTTAAAAATTAAATTAAGATGCACCAGTGTAATACAGCATCTCTTCCGAATAAAAAACATTCGTGGGTGAAGGCAAGATATCACTACTACTATTATTATTTTGCAAAAGCCTCGATCTCTTTCTGTAAAATGTAGATGAATGTGTAAATGCCTTTTTAGTGTTTTTTAGGCATAATAAAAAAAATAAGTTTGTTTACAAAAACTTTTTATTAGGTTATGTTCATGATGTTCATTAGGCCGCAAATGCTACTTAATGGGTTATATTTACGGACGTAAATAGAGATACGTAAATTAGGTTATAAATATGAACATAAAATACAACAAAATATAATTGGACGTTACTTTAGGGATTATCAGTGAGACGTATCCTATTCGGACAACGGGTAGACGTCGGGATAGTTCAAGTATATGTACGTCGTGCAAGCCAACGTGGGAACGACGTTGGAAAATTAATAAAAATGGTACGTTGTTATTTTGTAAGTCGACAGATCGTTGGATTTACCGACTCGGATCCAACGACGTCGCTTTTAATAGGAAAGCGACGTCACAGGTCGTATCACGAGTACCCGACCTAAATTTGCACAAAGTCTGACGTCGCTTCAGGTCAGATTTAGTTCGAAGTCAGATAGATGCTACTTGGGCAAGGTCAAACGTTGTGGTGGCTTCAGAAAAATAAGTAAACATGGAGCATGAATAAATATCATTAATTTGTAATGGAGTGTAATGTATTACCACTATATTAAACTGATATGAAAAATCAAAAACAGTGTATTTAGAAAACAGTTACCGATGGTAGTCTACCATTATTAATTACAATATAGTAAAAAATATATTTCCAAAACTTAAGATCGTAAAACCGCTGAGCAATACGCAGCAACTAACTGTTCTGGCGGTCCGCCTTTTATACGTTATAATCCACGGTTGTTTATTAAAATTAAAAAATTAAACATAAACTATTTAAAAAATCTTGCAGGTTGAGTGAAAAGTTTTGTTCTTCAATATCTACTCTACATATTATAAACGCGTGTTCAAATACTAATTTTGTGGAATATATATCAATATAAAACGCGATGTAATTAACGAAATATCATGGTAACAACAGCTATTTTAGAAACGTTTAGGTTTACTTATTTCACTAAGATTTATGAAAAAAATCCTTTGCCTCGGGTACAGATACCGCCACGTTTTGGAAATAGCTCAAAACGAAACAAAATCGAACGAGGCAACAGGAAACGCCAAAAAAATCCCCCCACGAGTAGTTTTCGGGCGCTTTTAAGAATCGAAAGTAGGGTCGAGGGGGTAGAAGTGGGTCAAGACAACTGGAAATAAATCGAAATGCGACAAAGTTGGGCGACGAAATGCGAGCTTGACCTGTTTCGAAGAGTTCTCCACATAGTGTAGAGGCTGTTTAGCATTTTAACACACACAAGTATATAATGTATCTTTATAGGTTATGGAATTGGAAACCCAAGTGCAAGTCGGTACCAATCAACTCAGACGCCAAGACGAAGAAATCAAGAAACAACGGGAAGCTCTTGAAGAAGCAGAAACCAGAGACAAAGATGCAGCAGCTCGGCTTCTTGAAGAACAAAGAAGGTACTCCGACTTGGAGAGCAAGATGCAAGACGAACTGATGAAGGCTCGTATCAGCGACGCCGAAAAAACACAAGCCGTTGCCGAATTGACGCAGAAAATTAGCCAACTCGAACTCAAGGTAAGAGAAAATACAAGAAGTGTCATGGAGAAATACGCCAAAAACTTCAAAACTGTAATTTTAATTTATTTTAACGAACTTAACTTATCGAATAAATAAATATATTTGTTCTAGAGTCAAGAAATCGCTACAGAGGGTGAACTACGCATCCATTCAATGGACGATAGCGATCGAGTGCGCGAACTTCAAGATAAAGTAGCTGACCTGCAAGCTGAGGTATTTTTCTTAAATTCCTTAAGCTAAAATTCTTTCATTAACAGCACCTTGCTTGCTGCTAACCAATTACTACTAATTAAATTCATGTAAATTATGTAAATAACGCTAATAAAAAATACAAGATGTGCGCCACTGGCTCCCTTTAATATCATAGACTTAATAAAACATGTTTATATTATTAATTATTACTTTTGATTTCTAACAACAATTTCTCTTGACGGAACCAAAAGGCCAAAACGACTACTTGCAAATTTTGAAGTAAAATTAGTGGAAAAAGTTAAAAATTTGGTAACTTTTCTACTAATCGAAAGTTTTCTTCTATTAAATTGAAATTAGAGGAACTAACTAACTAGAGTAAACGCACGAATGTTTGGGAGTGATTCATCGCTTGATGAAGTTAGAATCGACACGCGCGCCATCATTTTTACATTAAAAACGTAAATTTTTACCGCAGACGTAGGTTTTTAAAGGCCCGGTCTAATCATTTGCCTACGCTCCTCCTACTCATTCTAAAATGTTAGCGTGATTGACAAAGACGATACTATATCGCGTTTCTTTGATTGATTCGTTTTTGTGCGTCAGTCCATTGGTGTGCTTGCAGTGCGACCAATGAGGCATTCCATTTTATGTTTATAACCAAATATATGTTTTGACAAGACTTTGACAATTAAAACAACAGATTATATATTGATTATTATATGACTTGAAAGACCACGGCACTGGAATTAAGTTTTATGTGACCTTGAACAGATTAGTTCACATGGTAGCGACCGATGAATCGCTCCCAAACATTCGTGGCGTTTACTATACGCTGATCGAAATTACTATTTTCGATGATCCGAATGAAGGTTAAGGAGACCGTTATCAAAATTCCAGCTTTTAGTATGGCCTTTTAGTAACTCTATGTTATCTCTATAGTTTTATTGCTCTATGATTAGGAGTTCATTATCACCTCTAGCTATATGTATATGTAACCATGACACTAACCTATTAATATCGACGTTTATTTAGTTTCCAACGCCAATTACAAGCCCGGAAATTGAGCCGTGGAAGTGGCTCGAGTAAGTTAGTACTGTCCCCGTTTCTATGTAATATTTGTTGTGTCGCTTAGAGGCTTAGTGCAACATTGTAGCATCCTTAATTCATGTGTAAAATTTTTAATAATAAATACTGTATCTGTAGATATATCATGTGTAGTAGTGCATGGTGTTTTCTTTATATTACAGAATTATTAAAATTTATATTCGGTGTAAAATAATTCGAAAAGGATTAAGGAGGATTAAAACGCGCCGTAGATAGACGATGATAATAAAATATATAGCCTTACGAGTGAAAGAACGATTTCGACATACAACTGTCACTGTATTGCATTCTCTCAAGTATAAACTATACTTACATATGTATATAGCTTATATTTGTAGAATAGGCTTTAACATGCTCAATATTTCATCAATTTTAAAAATATAATAAGAAAGCATATACCGGAAAAAAATACAAAATCACAAAAGTTTCCATAACTTTTGAATTGACTTAACTTCTTTTTATCTTAAAAAGCATGCATTTCAATTGTAGGTATTATTAATTAATAATCTGGATATTAATCTCAAAAATCGTATTATTTGCATGAATTAACTATACCCAGTATATAGTATCGTTTTAAATAGGCAGGCATGTTACAGGAAACATTTCAAAAACATTGAATTCAATTTGACTAATAGATTTTAGATCAGTTTAAAGTAGTTTTTGCTAAGTGCACGGTGCAGTAATTTAAAACTTTCTTTAAAGTATTTGGTGTCATATGAAGTTAATACAATTTTTTTCAAATATAGAATTAATTTACAGAGGCGATAGCTTCTCAGGAATTTTTGACGTAGTTTATTTATTAGATCTTTCGAGGTGGCTATTGACCTGATCAGATCTATTGTGGTCCTCTTCTGATCTCCTTCAGGTAGAAATCTACGATCTTAGATAAAAAACTATTTGAAACAAGAAATAGCCATTTAATTCGATAGTCAGCACCATTAAAAGTGATCAACTCAGTAACCATCAGTACGAAGTTGGTCAAAAAATGTTTAGTGAAGCTGAACAAGCTTGACTACTCTGGATGCCAACCTACCAAGGAATAGAAGGCAGTGAAAAAGCAAACGATCTAGCTAGAAAAGGAGCGAACACTCCACTAACTGGACCAGAACCGTTCTGCTTCACAAGTGGAAACCAACTTAAAGCAGAACTCAAGAACCTGGAATGTAGAATGAGTGAGAGGGGGGTTACTCACTGCGACCTTAAAGATCTATTTTACCCCCTTCCTTGAGACATTACACAGGATATTGAGACAAGATATCCCATCCTCCTCTGACAACAGATGTTCTTCCTCCGAGGGTACACACCCTTCCACGGTTGGAGTTTGGCCCTCCGTGCCGCTCTTCACAGTCGAGGAGCTTTCCTCGGGCTACCCGTGAGGTGGAGGCTGGAAGATCTGTCTCCATTTTCTCCACCTCTTTAACTTGGTCTCTCTTTAGACCTGATACCAGTGTTGTCCCGTATCTATAACAGAGGATATGCCCCTCCTTCTCTATTGCCTCCTTGGATTTGAGGTCAATTCCTATTGTGAGCACCTGACCATGACCCTTCTCCCTCGAGTTGATGACTCGCCAACTCGATGTCCTTACATTGAGGTTCTGACCCTGGATAAGGCTCAGCAGGTAGGTGGTGTCTTTCCCCTCCCTCCTTTAGGGATGTTTTCTCCCGTCACTGCAACCAGTTCCGGCTCCTGCCAATTTTTAAGCTTAGGTGTGATTTCCACCAACCAATTCGCCGATTCTTGAGATACACAATCTATGAGGATCATATCCACCTGAAAGTGTATCCCCGCAAAACTGACCCACATTTTGTAGATCGTTGTGTTGCGATCCGATCGCCACTACTTCCAGTATATCCTCTGGGAAATCCTTTGGCAGCACCGCCACTTGAGCTAGCAATGGCGGCAAAGCTGGTGATACGTCCCTGCTTGCCTCCCAGTGTTGGACGGCTGTCCATCCTGGCTTTTTTCTCTCCATGCTGGAGAAGAGGTGAGAGGTTCTCGCTCCCTCTCTTGCCCTTTGATGGAGATGAGTCAGGTTGTTTCTTGGTTTCATTACTCTCCCCTTTTCGGAGGAGTTTTGTCGCTTTTAGATTCTTTCTTCGCTTCGTGGATCAGTCGCAGGTATCTCCGTGCTTCTGCTCCGCTAAGACCTACTCTCAGAGGATCGTCTAGCCCGCCTGGTTGACCCAGACCGGGTAGACGAAACGGCAGCTTGTGTCGATTATTGGGTCTAGAGGTAGGCTTCCGACCCTTGCTGAAGAAGGTGGTAGCTTGCGTGCCACTTGTGGAGGATGATCCCAAGCAAGTGTCAGTCGCCCCTCTTGTAGTTTCCTTTGGATTTGGTCCCTTGGAACTTTCATTTGTAATTTTCCCAGTGTCGCTAGTGGGCTTCCCCCACAGCTTCACCGGTGGTGTTTTTAGTACTAGATCTCATAGTGTTCCCACTAGTCGCTAGGTATAGTCGGTCCACTTCTACTGAGCCCCGCATGTAGAAGTAAGGGGTAAATACAATGGGGTGCCCCCTGATGCTCCAACGTTGAGGGCAGTAATGGCTAGCCCTCTATCTAGCCACGCGTCAATTTGACCTGGTCCCGCCATCGTAGGATTTAGGTTTTTGGTGAGGTTGTCTCCTCTTGGTCCAGGCGGTTAAGCCAAGACCCAGATCAGGGGCTTGGAACAACCTCAAAAAGTAAATACCACTCCTGCAACTCCCAGTGGATGATATGCCAAGAACGTACAACTTTGAGAAACGTCTCAATGTAGTATTAAGTAATAAAAAGGATTGGAAGAGAGAAACGTCTGCTCAGCAATTAAAAGACCATACCATAACTTGGTATACTGATGCTTCCAAAACCAATGCGGGAACAGGGATCGGAGTATTTGGGCCGAGAACTAAATACTCCGAATCAATGGGCACCTGCCCTAGCATCCTACAGGTAGAAATCTACGCTATCGAAAGATGCGTACAACTTATCTTAGATAGGAACTATCGGAAACAAGAAATAGCCAACTTATCTGATAGTCAAGCAGTATCAATCAAGTCGAAATTGACCAAAGAATGCATAGAGAAGCTGAATAAATTAGGCGGAGCTCAAGAACTTGGAAGACCCCATCCGCAACCTGGAATGTAGTAGATTGAAACTAAGAAGAAACGGCGAATGCAGATTCTGTGGGGAAAATGGGGATACACCAGTACACCTCATCACTGAGTGCGCCGAGACGACAACCATTCGTGCCATGAATTTTAGTACGACTGATATTGGAGATGGAGAACTACCCTCTATAAAACCGTCCCAGATACTGGCTTTTGTCAAAGCCCTGGGACTGTATGATGAGTTATAATTCAAGAAAGGGGGACACAATAGATCTGTAGGTTGCAGTGATTAATCCCCCTCCCATTCATTCTAAATTCTAAAAATTCTAAACCCCCTCCCACTCATTCTACATTGTATCGCGTGCCCAAATTCAATGAAAATTGCTTTATCGATAACTGAAACGTTCGCTTCTGTAACCTTATTATCTAACTCTTTTTTACTATTTATCAGATAGAAAACTACTAGGTACCTAACTTGATATTTTCTTAAGGTAATCAGACTGGAAAGGCGTACCACACGTACCGGGGCTCCCCTACAGTCGGGTCGGTCGCATTCCATTGACAGCACCGACGACGACAGCAAGTTCAGAGCGGACGACCCCTCGCTACACCTCACGATAGCCCCGGTGTCCCCCACGGAGCCCCCGGCAAATAGTTTTGCGGAGATGGCCGAAAAGGACGCCAACATGAACGTCAACAAAGTCAACAGTGTCTGACGCTCGTACTAGACGTTATTTTTTGGACATTAAAATTGGCCACTCTGGGTCTTGCTAAGAGTTGGATGTAAGAGTCGTACCGGGTGTTTTGCAAAAGTGACTCCCCTTATAACTTTTTTAGTTACACAATAATTGATGAAAATTTCCATGCGCTAAATGTTGATGGACGTATTTTTTTAATGTTTTTTGAACGAAAAAAAAAGAAGCCTATCAAATTTAAAAAATAATAAAAAAAGCATGTTTCAATATCTAAAATGGTTCTTGAGTTATCGCGTGTTACGTGTTAAAAAGTTGAGTACATATTTAAATTATCGCGATTATGGACGTTTTATTATTATAAAAAAAATGGACACCATAACGATATTCTTAAGGTGCGTTCACACCGGCCGCACCGCGCCGCGCAAAACATTTTTTTAACATGTACTTTTAAAGTGTATTTTTTTAGCGCGCAAAAAAGTATATGTTGAAGCAGCCGGTGTAAACACCTTTATAATTCCATTTTAGATGCCCAGAAACATATCTAATGAAATGATCTAGTTATCTTTCCGAAAAAAAACCTTTATACAGGGTGGTCCATTAGTGCGAGGAGGTCCAATAACATCGATGTTGTCGAAGGTATGAAAAAAAGGTTTGGTTTGGTGAATATAAAGGTTGCATGGTTTTATAAAGAGGCATATCCTAAAAATATTTTGTTGTATACCGGGTGTCACATAAAAATGTTATTTATGTATATAAATGTTACCCTGTATATAAGAAAATACTTTTAGGATACGCTTCTTTATAAACCATGCAATGTATGTATAAAACGTTTTTCATACCTTCGACAACGACGACGATATTGGACTTTCTCGCACCAATGGGCCACCCTGTATAAACGTCTTTCGACCAGGGAAACTCGTACCTGTATCTCCGATAAATGTGGCAACACCGTCGCATTTTTCTCACTTCGAGTCAATAAGATCCCTATGCGATTCACTTCCACACAATATGTAAATACCAAATTTCATTTTTTTTATCTGAAAAAGTAAGAAAGTTTTAGGGGGGGGGGCTACTTTTAAAAAACACCCGGTATATTAATTTCTGATATACAAGCAGGGTGCATTAATTGTTGTTAGTTCTTAGAGATTACGATAACCGTGATGATACAATGAATTAATTACTAAATAAATTATCAGACATTTAGGCAACACATTGCAATTTTTTTTTGGTTTTCTAGTTGTCCTACTATACTATTATTTATGCTTATCGTTTTTTTGAAAGCTCGTCTGTAAAGAATTAATACAAAAAACTCTTAAAAAATCACTAGCCACTAGATAAAAAAATTAACAAGTATTTTCACTTTTTTACAATTTTTTAGTACTTAATTTAACAAAAAGTCATTAAAATAGTATTAAATAATGTTTAAGATAGGCACAAAAAAAATTGTTAACGCCGACAGTACATACGAACTAATTGTAATGTAGTAAGGTCCAATAATAATGAGAAAAAAAAGTGTTGGTAGATTTTTTAAAATTATATTATATTATGCGTTAACTAAGTATTAGAAAAAGTGTTTGGCTGTAATATTTATTGAGGTTAAGGCAAAAAGTCGCTGTGAGCAAAGAAAAAAATCTACAACAATTACAAAAGAGAAAACTATAAAGTTAAGATTATATTTTGCTTACGGTGAATATTTTCCTTAAAAGAATTGTGTTTGTGTATACGGGGTGATGCGAATTGTATTCGGGAAACTTCAGCAGCATATTCTGTATATGAAAATAAGTAAAAAAGTTCGTATATGTCCTAAAATGCTTAGTTTCGGAGATAAAGGGTGTAGAAGTTTCATTTTTTATTTCGATTTTTTCCAAATAATTTGTGAACTACCGTCAATATTTGGATAAAAATTGGTGTGTGGATGTTTTTTGACATGAGAAATTAGATTTATGGCGAGTTTATACAACATTGTCGTGATCATAATCATAATTTTAGTCTAAAGCATAAGCACAGTCACAATCACAGTCTAATAACTTTAATGATAATAATCTTGTCAACGAGTTTATTTTTTGTCAGTGATGCCATATATTGATTATTTCGATTACAAATATCTTGAGAACTGTTGCTCGTAGCGATTTTTACCAAGAGACCCTTTTTAAGTAAAAAAAAACGGAGAAATTATATTTTTCATTCAATAGTTTAATACAGGTACGGAAGAAAAGTTATTTTATTCAAAACAGTTAAAAAACATGTAGGTGGCGCTCCCTATAAGTAGGAGTCGCAAACTTAAAAAAACACAACATTTTCATCCAAATAGTGATGTTAGTTTAGTTATTTAGAAAAAAAAACGAAATAAAAATGAAACTTTGTTAAATCGCTACCGCTTATGTTGAGATCCCACCGCTGCCACCAAACGTTATGGAATCAAAGCTGCTTCTTCTAATGCTGTTGCTTTGATAATAATTTTACACTTGATTTTTGGTTAAATATTTTATTTTATACAGGATGTCTCAGAAATAAGTGCAGATATTTTTACTAGTAGTATATTTCGACCCCAGAAACACGCCTGAGGTTTTTTTGTGAAAAATAATTGTTGACAATTTAATTTTTTTTTTGACATTTTCCGGGAGATTTAAAAAAACTTTTTGTGCCACAGTGGTATTCACCTGAGATTTCTCTACGGTGTATCTAAACCTTGCAGTGTTGCCACCTCCTACGTTATCCACATTCTACATAATTCTATATTTATAAATTAAGAACAATTTTAAATGTCCACACAGAAAATTAGGAATGTTATTTTAATTTTTTATCAATGCTCATTACTAATAGTTCTAGGGAAAAAACACATTAATTATTTTTAGTACATACCCTTTCAATGAAAACCTAACGGTAATCACCGAATATTAATTAAAACATTACTTTTGAGGTTTACGAAAATCTTTGTTATGCTCCAAAATCACTTTATTTAGAACTAAATTTAATAAAATTATTCATCATATTATTCACAATGAGGCCACAAAAAAAAATCCAAAATGTTTATCGTAATTCAGAATTTAATATATCGCATAGCCCGACGAATAACCGATTCATACGAACGACAAACGTCCGATGACATGCGGTGTTGCCGGATTACCTGAATGTAAAAATGTGACTGAAACTAATTAACAAATCTAATTAAATCTAGGCAGGGATACAACAACTTCTACACCCTGTATCTCCGAAACTAAGAATTTTAGGACATGTACTTATACGAACTTTTTTACTTATGTTTTTCTGCTAAATATATTGCCGCAGTTTCCCGAGTACAATTCGGGACCGCCTTGTAGATAGAGAGATTTTTGTTATAAAAATTTATATTTTGTTTAATTTATCACATTTTTGTCTGGCACAAACATAAAGCGTATTTAGAATATTGTAAACGACATTAGGGAAAAAATAAAATTAATAAACACAATATTAAAGTAGTCCTGAATGTGATTAAGTAATAATTAAAATAAAAAGATAATTTTGTTGAAAAATACAGTTAATTTTTATTACACAGTATAAATTCATTCCTTATTTTTTTTCGTTAGAGATTTTTTTTGAAATTATTTTATACATTCCTATTAAATTATTATATTTATTTAAATAAACTTAATGATAATGATACTCTGTATGAGAACACTTTGATGTGGATATTGTCTAACAACAAAAAACTATTTTTTTGTTTGTTGTTTTTTAAAATTTTTAACTATTTTTTTTTTCTTGAGCGAATTATTGGTTTGTAATTTATTTTTTTTAGCTCGGAGATTTTAGATTTTTGTTATGTAGTACTCTGTTTCAGTTAATGTTAACTATTTACTTTTAATTGACTAAGTTATTAATATTGTTTACTGTATTATTTTTTACCATATTAATAAAGAAATTTTTGAAAATGGTGTGAAACTTATTTTTTTATTGTACTTTACGGACCCCTTTTGTTACCAAATTTGTTAAAATAAATATTGTCTTAAATAAACGATTTATATATTAAAATTTTTAGCTTTTTTTTGAGGAGGAGGGGAAAAATCTTGCATAAGACACCGTTGGGTAGTGTCGGATTCCTACCGACTAAAAAAACCCTCCTCGCATTCCATCGCTCTATCCAGCTGGAAACCGCTTGCGCATTACTTCAGCTGGAAGGCATTCTATTTCGTTTGGTTTCTATTATTTCTCGAATGCATCTATATGTAATTTTCCATGACATTTCACCACTTAGTAGCCCTTGCATCATATTTTTGGCATTAAAGACTTGTCCACCACTGTCCCGTTGGAATGACTCCCTAAACTGCTTCCATTCATTGCAGAGGAATAGTGTGTGTTCGACACTGTCAACTTCCTTGCAATACATACACAAATTTGAGGTGGATCTCTCCCTTTTATGCAAATAGTTGTTAAAGCATCCGTGCCCTGTCAATGCCTGAGTTAGGAAATAGCCCGTCTCTCCAAAGCTTCTGTCTAACCAGATATTAATGTCTGGTATGAGATCATGTGTCATAGATCATGTCACATAGATCTACCATATCTATCTAGATCCCACTCCTTTTGCCATTCAATCATCAGTATGCTTCTTGCCTCCAGTTTTTTGTCCCTTTGTATCTCTCTCTTCTCTCCTCTACAAGTAGGTGAATAGGCGGCACCCCGGATATGACATTTAATGCTTCAGCGGAGACGGTTCTATATGAACTGCAGATCTTGAGGTTCAGTTTACGGTGTATAGCTTTAAGTTTTTGCCTTATATATCCCTTTGATATTGCGAAGTGCCACACTGGGGCGGCATATAACAGTTGAGAGTGTGCTACACAGGCTAGGATTCTACGTTTGGAAGCAAGTGGCCCTCCTATATTAGGCATCAGCCTACCCAGTACGGTCAAAGTTCGTTCCGCCTTTCGTATAACTTGATTTATATGCTCGCCGAATGTAAGCTTTGAATCAAGCCGAACTCCAAGATATCTTATTGCATTCTTTGGTGAAATTGTTGTACCGAGAAGCTCAAATGATATAAGAGAGAGTTTCCTCTTGGTGGTTAATAAAACCGCTGCAGTTTTGTTCGGTGCTAGTTTTAAACCTTTGCGCTCGATCCAGTTGGCCACTCTTTGTAGCCCTGCATTAGCAACACTCATGAGTGTCTTTTCGTTTTTGGCCATTACCACCTACGTCATCGGCAAAGCCGATTAGTGTTACTCTTTCGGGCATTGCCGTTTCCAGTAGGTCGTTGTACTGGATATTCCATAGTGTTGGGCCAAGTACTGACCCCTATGGCACTCCACTGGTTACGTTAATCTGCCTTTTAGCAGTATCGTCTTCAATTAAAATTGTCCTTTCAGAGAGATAAGATGCCACCATGTTAGTCAGAAACGAACTTATACCCCATTTTTGCATTTCGTCCAGAATGATCTGCCACGAAGCACTGTTGAATGCATTTTGCACATCTAGAATAATTACTGCGCATAATTTTCTATTATTTGGTGCATAATCTACTGCTTGTCTTTCAATAAGAAGTACATGTTCGATCGCATGTATTGTTTGTCTACCTTTTCGAAAACCATATTGGCGCGCTGGAAGAGTTCCTATTCGATCGAGTTCTTCATTTTGTAATAAGTATAAGGTGTTCATATAGTTTTCCTTCTATATCTAAAAGACATATCGGTCGGTATGCCGCTAAATTTTTAGTTGTTTGATTTGACAAAACTGCCACCCCCCTAGTATACCCTACTCAGATAATATACAGGGTCCGGCAAAAGTGCGTCGGACATCTATAGCTAATAAAAAAGTTAGGAATTTTGTTTAAATCCATGCAAACACCTAAAAGAACCTACCTTTCAGAAAAATATTTAAACTTCTACAGGGTGGCTCGAAAAGTGCGAATGGATAGGGATGAATAATTTAAATGGAACCCTCTATATTATTTTTTTTTATTAGATGGAGAATTAAAAAATGAACATTTTTTGTATTTAAAGTATTTCAGAATTTTTAACGGTTTTGCGGATATTCGTGGTATTATTTTACATATGGGATTTCAACAGTAATTTTTATCAAAGCTACCCAATGTTTTTCGTCTTGTCCGCCATGAAGAGCCATACGTAATAAAACCGCGGATATTTGTGCGATAAATAATTAAAAAAAAATTAAAACACTTTATATACAAAAAATGTTTATTTTTTAATTGTCCACCTAACAAAGAAATAATATACAGGGTGTTTAACCTCTATAAAACCGTCTCAGATACGGGCTCTTGTAAAAGCCCTGATACTTTATGATGAGATATAACTCAAGAAAGGAGGATACAATGGATCTACAGGGTGTCCCAGGTTGAGCATACATTAGAAGTTTCTAGAGAATCAATAGAGATTACAAATATTTTCAACATGGTGGCACAATACCGGAAATTCCGGAACTTGTCAGCAACTTTCTTATTTTAAATGGGTGTCCCATTTTTTATTACATACTTAAATTCTCTGTAAGATTCTATGCATTTTGATGTTAAACACTTTATATCTAACATTTACCATTTTTGAGAAAAAAGAAATAAAATTATTGGACGAAAAGATTACCTGCTAAAAAAAAATTTATAGTCTAAAAAACAAATTTAGTGATTACCATACCCACTGTGACATAAGGAGAAGAAAAATGTAGCTATCTCTTTCAAAAATTAAATTGTTCAAATGTCATGTGGCCACACCAAAAGCGTGTAGCGTTCGGCGTGTGTAGCAAAAAACGCAAATGAAAACAAATCAGTTTGTTTTCTGTAGCGTCTTTAGCGTTTTCTAAGATGAGACCCCGTCATAGGCGGACGTTATATTTAATAATACAGTAAAAATAAATTAAATAGCATGCATTTTTTTCCATTTAAGGGATTATCTAAAAATATTTTTTATAAAGAACATCTACTGTTTAGGAAGATCCTATTAAATTTAAAAATTTGAAGGAAATGTTTGAAGAAGTGCAGTTTGAAATGTTGAAATAAGTAATAAATTAAAGGAATATTTTCTTACGCGTAAAAAATAGCTTTTTTATGCGTAAAAAGTGTTTTTTTTGCGTAAAAAAGGTTTTTTAACAGAAACAAACAGTTTTTAAAGCGTAAAAAATAGTTTTTTACGTGTAACAAAGAGTTTTTTTTACACGTAATTTTTTTTTTTGAATAAGAGTTTTTTACTAGAAACAATAAGTTTTTGACGCGTAAAAATTAGTTTTTACGTGTAACAAATGGTTTTTTACACGTAAAAAATATTTCTTTTTGCGTAAAAAAGGTTTTCTACCAGAAATAATAATTTTTTACGTATAACAAATAGATTTTTACACGTAACAAATAGTTTTATACGCGTTAAAAATAATTTTCTACCAGTAACAAATAGTTTTATACGCGTTAAAAATAATTTTCTACCAGTAACAAATAGTTTCATACGCGTAAAAAATAGTTTTTTACGTGTAACAGTTTTATTCGCGTAAAATAATAAAAATAGTTTTTTACGTGTAACAAATATTTTTTTACACGTAATAATTTGATTCACTTCTACAAAATTTGTATTAAAATATCAATATTTTTGATAAACACGTGGACTGCTCACAAATACACGGCGCGTCACTACGTATTTCTAAGCCGTTAACACGTTTCGTTACGAGTTCGTGTGTCAGGGCCGTCGCATTAGCTCGTATGTCACGGCCTTGAATTTTTACTCCCAGCGCGCGTAAAGAAGTTTCACTCCAAAATGATTCATAAAGCATGTCCTAAAATTGCATTAGCAACTAGAAATATTTACTATTCTATTATATAATTATAATTATTTATTATATTATATTATAATTATAACAAGTACTAACCACAACACTACAACATAAAAAAACTATACACATATAAACTAAAATTTCGTAAAATAAATAGCAAATAATAATTATTATTTTTACACACACCACTGACACTAGCAGTAGATTGTGTTTGTCTTGGAATATATGCCCCGGCCCGTCCACAATTCAATCCCAGCATCTTTTATCTTCGTCTCTTCAACGCTAACCGCGCCGATCTCGCCTATCTCTTTCTCACAGGATTGATTGTTGGACGGGCCGGGAATCCACGAGCTTGCGACGTTACTAATTGACAGCTTGATAGAAACTGCAGACCTGCCGCGACATTTGCGTGTTTTTAATGGACACAAACCGCTTAAAAAACGGTAAAATCGCAAAAAGCGCTTGAGACGCAAAAAACGCAAAACGCTAAAAACGCTTTCTGTGTGGCCGTGGGCTAAGAGTTTAAAAAGTGTATTTATAAAAATATACCTCGTATTTTCGCTCTTTAGTGATATCTAATAGTTGATATATTAATATACCGTATGATCGAAAAAAAAACAGGGCAAAGTTGGTTTGGAAATGATGACCGATAGTATACTGCTTTTTGAACAAAGTTTCAAAGTCATAGAGGCTACTAGTTAAAATCAAAAAAAATATATGCTTTGAAATTAAATCTTAATAACTTAAAAACGATTTATTTTAGGTATAGGAACATGTATAGTCAAAAAGTAACGAATGGAAAAGCCTTTGCACTAGCGAAATAAAAAAAGTGGATTTCCATTTGAAAAAAATGATTTATGATAATTTTTTAATCGCTCAATTCCATGACAGCTGCGGCCATTATTATATGACATACGGACAATTTAATTTTTGAAATAGATAGTTACATGTCTTCGCTTTATGGTACAGTGGCTGTGGTAATCACTTAATTTGACGTTCAGGCTATACACATATTTTTGACAGGCATTTTTTTTTCGTCCAAAAATTTTAAATATTAACGGTTAACGTTAGGAATAGAGTGTTTGATATCAAAATTCATAAAATTTTACAGATAATTTAAATATGTACTAAAAAATGGAGGCACCCATTTAAAATAAGAAAGTTGCTGGTACTTCCGGAAGTGCCGCCATATTGAAAATATTTTTAATCCATAGATCTCGTTGTAACACACTGATTTGCCACAAAATCTCCAATCTAGATGTTGTAGTTCTCTAGAAACTTCTAATGCGCGTTCAGCCTGGGACACCCTGTATAAACCCGCGGTGATTAACTTGAATCACCCTGTATACCTTCATACCACACCGTCCGATATTAATGAATACGAAAATTCCGTACGGAGAATCCGAAACCTACATTTTTAATTAAATTCAAGGATAACAACAACGATCATGATTTCACAAAACAAATAGATTCTCATGATCGATCATAGTATTCAACAGAACAAAAATATACCAATCCCTATCTTCTTTTAGATTTCTTATCTCTATTCCACACTCAAGTCCAATAACAATAAAAAAATCCTTATCATCGGGCAAATTAAAGCACTCAATTCCACCTGTGTGCGTGTGCGATAAGAAAACCTGTCAACGTAACTTATTATTCACCTGTTGTTCAGTACGGTGCATCGCTGGCTACATGTAATCGCATTTTTTTCAACTACTGAGTCATGTTTAAATTGGTGGAAAACGCCTACATGGCAGTACTAGAGAAAGAGAGAGCCGAACGCATGGAACTCGAGGTATGTCTTTGATTGGGTACCATCCTGATAGATATTATACATAAAACAAAACGGATCCTCACAGATATATTTTTTTTTATTTTGTTCGTAACATGTCCTTGTTATCCTTGATACAATAGATGTGACGTCTTTAGGTTGAATTAAATTAAATTAAAAGATATAAGTCGCGATATTTATGTTTCATTGTTTCGGGTGTTTTTGCGAAAATGGAAGAGTTGGTTTACAAGAAGGGTCTATTGGAGGTAGGTGTAACGAAAAATGTGTAAAAAAACGTTATATACAGGGTGAGTCTTGAATAAGTGCACATACTTTTAGGGGTGGTATTCCCCATTTTTTATTGCTAACTTTTTGAGGAAATGCATTCTTCCTAAGAGTTTTTGCTTGTTTTAAGATGGTTAATCACTTTTATACTTTTCCAAATTTCCATACTGTTTTAGAGGAAAATAAAAATATACGAAAATATACAGTATATCCCCGGATGCATATTTGTATATTGCACATAGATTATCCATTCGGAATTAGTCGGGTCTGCTGCGATTCGGCGGTATGTAAGTTATTATACTCGGGAGAGCACTTTCTTGGATAACGCGAGTGCAACATACACAGTAGTGTTGGCGTTATTATGAATAATTATGTTTTGTGAAGTGATGATATAGGTATTGTCCATAGAGGTATTGTCTATATTATACCGGGTGCGTGTCACAAGTGGCTCACCCCTATAACTTTTTTATTTCTTCAGATTAAACAACGAGATTTGGTATGTTAGTATATGACATAAATTGGGATTGATTGACGTATTCAACTGTTTTCGGTCACTTCCGGTTTCATTAGAAATGACCACAACTTTTGATTTTTAAATGGCACCCTGGGTACTTTTTTACTTTATTCGATAGAAAATGACACTCTGAATCGAATGACATATCATATGTCAATTTTTGACATAGTCACTCAAAAACAAATTCTATTTTAAATTTCAATCTAGTAGAATTTTTAATCAAGGAGCCTTGGAAAAATAGATTTGATCGTCTAAAGTTTTTAGTGTCTTGTCCTGGACGATTAAAAGATGCCCAAATCGTATTTTTAATCATATCTCATTTTTTTCAAATGGAACGAGGGTGGCTCATTAGCATATTTGGAAAAGGCATTTTTTTACGAATAATTTGATATCACACACTTGGTATTTTGAGTCAAATTTTCGTTATGAACCACATGTTATAATTACAAATAAAATATGCCAACATGTCAAAAGTTGACATATGATATGCCATTCGATTCAGAGTGTCATTTTCTATCGAATAATGTAAAAAAATACCGAGAGTGCTATTTAAAAATCAAAAGTTGTAGTAATTTCCGGTGAAACCGGAAGTGACCGAAAACAACTGAATACGTCAATCAATCCCAATTTATGTCATATACTAACATACCAAATATCGTTGTTTTATCTGAAAAAATAAAAAAGTTATAGTGGTTTTGAGACGCAGCCGGTATTTTCCTACCCTTTTAAGGATATAGCATGGGAGCAAAAATAAATTATATATGAGAATGAATAGGCATACTGATTCAAAATTTCGGGAATCGGAATAAAGAATACCGACACTCTAGAAGATCGATATCTATCGCCCAACATTACCTAAACATAAACTTAATTTTTACAAGGGCTTTATAGTTAGGACCATAGACGCTGCCATTAGTGTTTTTTATTATCGTTTTTTAAAATCGAGTGTTCCGTTTCATTTCTCCAACAGTGTATAAAGTTTGTTTCCTCCTTATAGTATTCCTAGATAAAGAGGGTTCGAGTACGCTTTGATGCTCGATATGAAGAAAAAATCATTTTTAGATGCTCCCTCAAATCGCACCTGAACAATAAACAATAATCATATAATTAATTACTTTTTTACGTATAATGAATGAAGAAAGAATTATTTTTTTTATTTAAATCTACCTTTGAATTTACCTAAAAAGAGGAAAAAGCTTAAATAACAGTAAAGTTGGACGTCAAGTTTAGTAACGGATTTTTTCTCTGTCAGGAATGGCTTGATAAGCTCCAATCACTTACCAAAGAAACTTGGAGAACAAAACGAACATTTCCACTTGCTTCCAAAGCTCCAAGAACTATTTTTAAGCGTATTTACCGTTGCCATTTCAACGTTAGACAAAGAGCTACAACTAATATAATTTAAAACAAAAGTCATCTAAAAATATATTAAGCCTAAAGCCATATGTTACAATGTTTCTGTATGTTGCACTCGGTTTATCAAAGGAAGTGCTCTCCCAAGTATAACTTCGCAGCAGACCCGACTAATCCCGAATGGATAATCTGTGTGCAACATACAAATATGCTCCCCGGATTGTCTTTACAAGAGGAAAAACTTTTTTATTATTGCCATTTTGAGAAAAATGTATTCTTCATAAAAATTTTTGCTTGTTCTAAAATTGTTAATCCCGTTTATACTTTACACGTTATACGTTAACATGTCAATGAAGAAAAAAGTTTTTTTTAAACGCAACAAATATCTTAATAATATGGCGATATAGGTAGTAAATAAAACATAGAGGAACGAAAACACAGGAAAAATGCAGTGGTTCTAAAAATTTAAGCAATTTTTGAAGCGAAACTTCTTTACGCTCGCTGGTAGTAAAAATTCAAGGCCGCGACACACGAGCTAGTGGTAACGTCTAGAAATAGGTAGTAACGCGACGTGTATTTGTGAGCAGTCCACGTGTTTATCAAAAATATTGATATTTTAATACAAATTTTGCGAAAGGGAATCAAATTATTACGTGTAAAAAACTATTCGTTACAAGTAAAAAGCTATTTGTTACACGCAAAGAACTATTTTTTAGTCTTATTTTTTTTCATTTATTACTTTTTAAACATTTCAAACTACACTTTTTCAAACATGACCTTCTTCAAATCCTTCAATTTAATAGCTGTTAGTAAGAAGTCCCACTTCAAATATGCGCACATAGTGAAAACACAATTTTTTTAATAATCGCACGTAAATAACTCGTTTTGGACTTATTTGAAAAACGATCAAGAGAAAATACATTATGTTTCTTTTATCGAGATCTACATGCCCTAAAAATACGTACACTTATTCAAGAAACCCCTGTATCGGTCGTTTTATTTTTGTTTCTTTTGCCAGAAATCGAGACAAATCAATCAGCAGTTGAAGGAAAAACTGATGCTATTGGAAAGTGAACGTGATGATCTCAGGGAAAAATTCAGGCAGAACGAAGTGATCATTGTTGATAAGAAGAACGAGTTAAATAACCTTCTGGAGGAATTGCAGAAAGAAAGAAGGGCTAATCTGGAACAATCCCAGAGATTGCAGATTTGTAGAGAACAAATAGAATCGGTAAGCACCAAACATATATACAGTAAGTACAGTAACTACCAGCGGCAAAGCTTCCATTGATGCGGGTGATGCGGGTGAAAATATTGTAATACGTTTTTATTTAAAAAAAGCCACTGATATCTCCTATAATAAATATATACTATACTCTGTCTCAGTAAATTTATTCAAATAATTAAATTCAATCTCAATTATCTATGCCAAACGCTAAAAATAAAAATATCTCGACAGCGGGATGATGCGACTGTCCTCGGTACATCTTAAAAGCCGCCGAACGTGAGCCGGGGTCAGCGAACTTTCCGGCCGCGATTACGTCTTCCGTTCGCTGTTTTAGTCGGTGGGTGATGCGATTTTTTCAACACATCTCATTCGCGGTATAAAATAAAAAATATCGTCGCGCTTCGCGATGACCGATTCTGAGTGCGGCTGTAAAAAAGAAATAATTTTGCAATCATCCTTCAGTTCTATGATGTATTTAGAAAAATTAAAAACTATTGAAGAAGGATCTCCAAAGCATATTTTGAATATTAATACTAAATTAAAATCGTGTATTCGTCATTTCAGTGAAAATGTTTATAAAAGTGAACACTGGTATGTGGTTGTAAGGCACTCAATGAACTTTTTTGTCTCTTTCTTGTCTACCATTTTATCTAACAGATACGTTCACAGCTTTGTTTTTTTTACCTCAATTTAATTCTTTTATTTGAATTGGTTAGACTATTTTTTAACTTATTGTACTACATTACAATTATTACTACATTTTTTGTATATTTTATTTTTGTACCTTCAAAATTAAAGACTTCAATAAAAAAAGAAAAAAATCTTATTGTGTTGGTAAAATGTTCATTGCAGTTACTTATTACACCCCCTTGTATTGACGCCACGTTACGTCGCTGCTAACTACTAAAGAGCTAAGCTGTGAATTACCAGCCTTCAACAATCTGCTTTTTACCAACATTTTATTTAATATGAGTATACTCTGTCACATAGAAATTGCAAAACTCAGTAAATGAATAATACTCAACGACATTTTCAAGCAAAATTATTAAAAGGAATCCTTAACAATTCAGTAAGAGGAAAGTAAACAAATATGGAATAGTATTCCTAATACGGAATAGTATTCTTAACATGGAAGAGTATTCCTAATAGGAAATAGGATTCCTAATAAGGAATAGGATTCCTAATAGGGAATAGGATTCCTAATAGGGAATAGGGTTCCTAATACGGAATAGTATTCCTAATAGGAAATAGGATTCCTAATAGGGAAAAGGATTCCTATTAGGGAATAGGATTCCTAATACGGAATAGTATTCCTAATAGAGAATGATTCTTAATAGGGAATATGATTCCTAATACGGAACAGTATTCCTAATAGGGAATAAGATTCCTAATAACGAATAGGATTCCTAATATCGAATAGGATTCCTAATATAGAATAGGATTCCTAATATGGAATATTATTCCTAATATGGCATACCGCCATTTCTCGGAAACGAATACGCCTAATCGCAAGACAGTGATTTTTAATCTTTTCATCATTATACTCCCGTATAGGTTTTGCCTTGTCATACAAACGGACTTTGTGGCCACAGTGGGAGTGCTATGAGAAAAGTTTTTAAGGTTGGGTTAGGTTAGTTGCTCAGAAAGTATTTCCTGATACGCGATTGTAAAAAATATGTGGGCCATATACTGTTTGTTTATTTATTATTTCAGATTAACCAGTTTATAAAAGAATTGAAGCCCATCAAAGAACAACTGGACTTCAAAAGCAACGTGACCGAATGTCTACACGAACTACTAGTGAAGACCAAGCTAAGGATTGCCGAAAGCGACGACCTCCTTCAAGAACTCCACGATCACTACACCGCTCTAGAATACGATGTGGAGAAGTCCAAAGACATTTACTACAAAGGGATCAACCAGTGGCAGGATGAATTTCTAGCCGCCAGGTACATATACAGGGTGGGTCATAACTAGATGCTGCCTTTTGATACGCTCTCTTAAAAATGCAAATTCAATGAAAATAGAATTTTAAAGTAATTTATATACAGGTTCTTCCAGAAGTAAGTGCAAGTATTTTAACTGGTTGTATAGTTCGTAGTACGCCAGAAACACGTCCATGAGTTTTTTTACGAAAAAAAAATGTTGAAAATTTTATATTTTTCTTGACATTTTTCGGAAAATATTGAAAAACTTTTAAGTGCCCCTTATTCGGTTTCCGGAAATTTGTTTATAGTGCTTCGAGAGAATGCAATGCTGCCACCTCCTACGTTATTCACATTCTCTATGTTTAAAAGTTACAAGTTCACATTTTTAAATTTATACAAAAAATACTTAAATTATTTTATTCACTGTAAATTTTTAATCATTTTAGATTACTATTAACACTCAACTGGCGTGGTGGGGTCTAGCGGACCCCAAGCACTATTTCAACCTCTGTAAAATGTTTACGTTTAAGAATTAGGCCTCGCCGCGCCATTTACCTGTAAGTTAGGGTACCAATATGTAAAAGCGCACTTGGTTTTATCAAGTATTGTTCCTACCGGCGGGGGCCAAGTTTCATTGGGGTCTGTGCGGCACCACCACGCCAAGAATGTTTTATTATTAGGATGGTGGGTAGTCTAAATAGTGTGCCTTACTGGGACGCTAATTTTGAGGAAGCACTAATTGAGTGGTTTGATGAACTTAAAGAGACTTACGTGAGATGAAGATCATCGAGACATTGATTTTTCTCCGAAGAGTAACCATAACTCCGATTCTGAATCTCTTACTTATAGAAGGGAAAAATTGAATAATCAATACCAGAAAAGAAAGAGATGTGATATATGTCAACGAAGAAATGACAAAAAACAAAAATCTCATGAATCAAATGCGCACGATCCATGTGCGGCAAATGCAGATCCTATATTAGCATGAACTGTATTTGAAAAAGTTATGTACATTCAAGGTTTGCAGTTTTGTTGAAAATAATTCATGTTTATTATTTTAGCTTCACATTTCAGTTGTTTATACTTTTAATAATACGGTAAAATCAGCCAAGTTATATTTCTGTTGTCAAAAATTCTTAAAAAATGCGTTTTACTTTATTTTTGTGTCCGTTCTTATCAATTTGTTGAAAATTAATGAAACTGTTTGTTCACAAGATTAAATATATTGTAAACAGTGTTAAAATATCAAGCTTTTTATAAAAATCTCTACATCATGTATTTTTAACTGAAAAAAAACTACAGTTTAGTAAACTGAAATAATGAAACTAAATAATGAACAATAATAGCGGCTTTTCAACAGTTCAGAATCAGCACCCTCTATTAGATATGTAAATAGTCAACGTTTGACCTACATTTAAACAGATCATTGATGGAATTTTTAGGTCATCCAATTATTCACAAAAACAAGAGTGTGAGATGAGAAGAAAAACAGAGGAGTTTGAATTCTCAAAAAACAATCATAAATAATTCAGATGGTATATGAATGTATTTTATACCAAATACACACTTGTGAGTGTAGAGTTGTCAAGAATCGCAGTGAAATGAAGTGTTGTTAAGGTGGGTATGTATACACATGCGAGCCGAGTGATTCGCGAACCTATAATTCGCAAATGTATACGTTGTTTTGAGCAACGAACGAACGGCTCGCAAACCGTTCGCGGCGATCCGCCTCCTGTCGGTTTTTTTGACGAACACAAAGGGATTCGTGGCTCTCGGTGGACGAGCTCGTGTGTTTTTGTTTACGGTTGGAAGAGGTATAGAGCTTTATTTAAATATGGAGTGGTCCGAGGAAATCATTTTAGATTTAATTGATCTCTATAGAAAAAAAGCTTTATTATGGGATCCAAAACATAAGGAACATGATAAAAAGAATTTAAAGGAGGACGCTTGGAGGGAAATAGGTGTCGAACTGAAAAAAAATGCAGACCAATGTAAAAAGAAAATGATTTCTTTATTAGCATCCTACCACCAACGTCGCTGCTTCGTTTTCTTGTCTAAACTAGCCATCATTAAAAATGCACCACTCATCACCAACAGAGCATAATTCTCTTCTCGCGAAGACATAATTAAACGCGTACTCGCACCGTCGCGGTGTCGCGTCGCATCGCAAAAAATGACTGCATGTTTTCGGTTGGTTGCGGCGTTCGCGCTTTTCCCTTGGATCGTTGAAGGTTCGTACAAAAACAATTTGCCAACGAGCGGTTTGCGAACCGCTCGGCTAGCATGTGTATACCCACCTTTAAATGTAGAGTTACGGTTTTAGGTAAGGCGATAAAACGACGCTCTAACCAAATTACATCGATCTACTATCTATCGGAGTCCCGTTTTCTAATGTTAGATAAGTTTTTTCCTTTTAATTTGAATTTTCTAAATCGTTTTTAAATCTTTCTGGTCGATATGTCAACACTGGATATCAAACAAGCTGAGATTATGGTAATTGCTTGGTATTTGCGGCTGGTTATCGATTGCTGTCGGCGGTGCTTAAAATGTTGCCATTATTTTTTAAAATTTTCAAAGTTAAATAACTATATTATTATCAATTAATTTATTTCAAAAAACGGCAAAGACAAAATGTGTTTCTCTTTTGGCCAGACCACCCTTAAAATACTTGCACTTATTTCTGGAACACCCTGTATAATATATTATTTTTTCTAGATTAAGAGAGGCCGACGTGAACCTAGAATTCGACAAACTAAAACGAGATATAGCCACGATCAAATATGACTTAGAAGAACGACGATTGGTAAGAGTTTTCCAAAAGAATGTTTTATTTTTATTTGACTGACATCGAGAGTTTTATTTTTTTTTAGATTCGTGAGGCTACAGAACAAATGCAAGGTAAAACATCGAAAACGAACAGAGATTCTCTAAGAAAGAAGGATAAGACTCACGAGATGATCATAGACGAAGATGAAAGACTGACAGGGATAATTTTAGACTCGCTTAATGAAATAGATCACTTAAAACATCAGGTATGCCGAGTTTTAAGTACTCGAACACAGGAAATCCCAATACAACAAAATATCGTGTTCTCCTTTGTCCTTTCTCGAGTTGTAATTCATCATACAATCTCTGGGCTTCGACAAAAGCCAGTATCTGAGACGATTTTCCAGAGAGTAGTTCTCCATCTCCGATATTCAGTTGTACCAAAGCACGAATGGTTGTCTCGGCGCACTCAGTGAAGTGGGACGGTCATTTTAATACAAACTTTGTGAAAATTCATCAAATTATTTATTAATTTTTAATTTATTTCTTTACCAACAATTCAAACTTCACTTTTTCAAACACGTCCTTCAAAACCTCGTTTAATAGTTTCACTTCAAATATGCGCAATAGGGCGAGTCAAAAAAATCAACTATTTTTATAACTTTATACTCTGAAAAAAAGGTTGGTAAACACCTCGAAAAAATTCTGTCCAAGTATGAGCTCTTAATTTTAATAGGGAAGTCCTCCGCCTTTCAGTTTTTTATTTTTTCATTAATATTAGAAAGAAAAATGCATATCTCGGTATCTACTATTTAGAAAAAATATCTAGTCTCATATATATTGTAGGAAATAGAATTCTCTACAAAAAAGGTCTCTTACAATTTTTTTGTAAACCTCACCGTTCGAAAGTTATTAAAGATTGAAGTTGATTATTTTAAGGCAGATTTCTTTTTTCATATGAATTTTATAACTCGTTAACAAAAAATCATTATGATACGCGCAATGAAATAGTATTCCTAATACGGAGTAGTATTCCTAATACGGAATAGTATTCCTAATAGAGAATAGTATTCCTAATATGGAATAGTATTCCTAATATGAAATAAGATTCCTAATATGAAATAGCATTCCTAATATGGAATATGATTTCTAATATGGAATAGTATTCCTAATATGGAATAGTATTCCTAATATGGAATACCGCCATTTCTCTCTTTGCCTTGTCATTCAAACGGGCTTTGTCGCCACGGTGAGAGTGTTTTCTTTCAGCGCTATGAGAAAAGTTTTTTTTTATTATTTTAAGGCAGATTTCTTTTTTCTTATGAATTTTATAACTCGTTAACAAAAAACCATTATGATACGCGCAATGAAATAGTATTTCTAATACGGAGTAGTATTCCTAATACGGAATAGTATTCCTAATAGAGAATAATATTCCTAATATGGAATAGTATTCCTAATATGAAATATGATTTCTAATATGGAATAGTATTCCTAATATGGAATACCGCCATTTCTCTCTTTGCCTTGTCATTCAAACGGGCTTTGTCGCCACGGTGAGAGTGTTTTCTTTCAGCGCTATGAGAAAAGTTTTTTTTGATTATTTTAAGGCAGATTTCTTTTTTCTTATGAATTTTATAATTCGTTATCAAAAAACCATTATGATACGCGCAATAAAATAGTATTTCTAATACGGAGTAGTATTCCTAATACGCAATAGTATTCCTAATAGAGAATAGTATTCCTAATATGGAATAGTATTCCTAATATGAAATAATATTCCTAATATGAAATAGCATTCCTAATATGGAATATGATTCCTAATATGAAATAGTATTCCTAATATGGAATACCGCCATTTCTCTCTTTGCCTTGTTATTCAAACGGACTTTGTGGCCACGGTGAGAGTGTTTTCTTTCAGCGCTATGAGAAAAGTTTTTTTTTGATTATTTTAAGGCAGATTTCTTTTTTCTTATGAATTTTAAAATTCGTTAACAAAAAAATCATTATGATACGCGCAACTAACAGTTTTGTAGGAAATTCACTGTTCTACCAAAAAGGTCTCTTATGATTAGTTGATTAAATTAACCGTTTAAAAGAGATTCATCGTCAAACTTCAATGCACAATAATTTTAAGTTTTTGATTAATAATTGGAACAATTCCAATTTATTTTAGTTTCGGGAAAATTTTGACAAGTTTAAGTTTGTATATTATTATCTATGATTTTGTTTTATTATTTTCAGCTAAAAAAATTAGAAGACCAAAAAGACGACTGTGAAAAAAAGATCAAATCCAACGAAGAAATTAAACAACAACTAAGAGAAGTAAGGAGAAGCATATGGTTAAGAGAGTTCGAAAACAACCAGAAAATTGAAAACTTACGAGAAAAATACCAAAAACTTTCGGACCAAATGACCAAAGAACTGTCCAAAATTCAAGAAAACATCGAAGAGAAAGACTTGGCTATTGGAAGGATAGAAGAAAAAATTAAAAATTTAGAAATATTGGTAAATTTCCTTATTCGTTTATTTTGCTACATTTCATGGAGAATGGAGACGCTATTATAGATGCTCTCTATTTACGTATTTCTCTAAATACACACATTCTACACACGCCTAGAAAAACGATAAAATTATATTATATATAATTTTATCTGTAATGACATTCTTACTAAACTAAAACCTTGAACTTGAGCAATCCGATTATTTTCAAAAACACTTTTATTGAATTTTAGAATGACTCAATGGAAACCAATATGATGACCGACAATTTAACAGAAGATGCAGCGGAAAAACTAGAAGAAGAAAGAAATAGTCTAGAAAATGAGGTAATCGATACTTAACATCGAAAAAAAGGCGTCACAGTAACCGTAGTTTCTTTTTCAGATAGAACGATTAAAAAAAAGCTGAAAAAAATGTCTGCCCTGATTCAAACGCTGGAGTCAAACAGTGATTGGTGCTCAACAAAGTCTGAATACTAACCTGTAAATAAATTATTTTTTAAAAAACGCCATAATAACAGACACCAATAATTAGTAAATGCCCAAAAATTCGTGCCATGTAATTGTCAACCTTATGCCAACTATATGCATAGAGTTGAAATTTAAAAAGGAAAAATCATTAGGATTCAGTGTAATATTAGTTGCATACTTACCAAGTCAATTCAAAAATGTCATTAATGTTTTAATATTTTATTTCAATTTTATTTTTATTGTTTTAGTCATGTAGAGCGAGGTTTATGTAAAAGATATAAGTACAAATTTACAGTAAAAGCAAACATTAATAACTGTCTTCCTGTTTTTGTAATTATAATATTTATTTTTGTTCACATCAAATATAGATATAAAATTTTGTGTCACAGTTTTTGTTACCATACTCCTCCGAAGACCGATTTTGATGAAATTTTATATGTATACTAGCGTGTACTCGCGACTTCGTTCGCGTCGAATTAATCATTTGTAATGGTGATGATAAAGCACAGAAAGCATTTTCATTAACATACAAACTGGAAAAAATTTCTCACATTTATGTCAGCTTGAGAAAAAACAATATGACGACATTATTATACAGGATATCCGGAAATTAATGCAACAAAATTTGGTCATAGATACTTGAAAAAAAAATAGGTGACCCGTATTTTTTATTTTTGGTGAGTGGCCCCCCTTTTCGGATTTACAGCCTCCTGAACTTCGCCCCTAAAAAGATTTTTTTAAAATATTTCAGGGCCCTGTTGAACGAAAACCACTAAATTTGGTACACGTTGTATTACGATAAAATGACATTTTTTGATGCTATTATTTTTTTTATTTTCATCAATGGCATCCCTACGGTAATTCAACTAAATATTATTGAAGAAAAAAAAGGTACGCCACTGGTTTTTTCTAAAATAAAAATTATTTTTAAAATCTACATTAAATTTGGAACAAATTTGATCTCTGTACTTTTTTAGATTGATCGTTGTTATCTATTTTTTATACCTGTATATAATATACATACGTGTAGCAAACCGATCAGTTATGAAATTCACTTAAAATTAACTAATTATATATATTTTTTTGTATTTTTGCTTTTATTTACTACTCAAGATTATATGTCAAAGAATTTAGATACGTCAATTTGACTTACCTGCTTCAGTAGCGTATCGGATGTTAGTGTTAATAAATAATTATTATAACTTATCTATTTTTATTAGAATTATATATTTTTTTAGCAGTTTTAATAACTACCAACATTTATTGACAACGTAAAATAAAACAAAAAATTATTGAATCTACCCTACATCATATATTTTTACACGTTTTGAATAAAATTAGAACGGCACTGATAAACATGAATTTAAGTCGGCCATTTTTGGTCCCCATCGCGCTCGATCTAGGTGTTTTGATATGCTCCTTCCTGAATCTTTTTATTGAAAGGCTTTTACAATTTACAATACAAATAATGTCAATACAAAAACAAATGTCAATATCATTAACATTTTATGTGCCACCGAATTTCTATGACGTACAAAAAAACTTTTTAGGGTCGCTGTCGAATTATCCAAACTCAATTTTTTTCAAATTTCTCATCAAACGCTTGTATTTTCTGATGTACCTAACTCAAAAAATTAGAAATTGAACATCGCGCAATGTTCAACAGCGAATTGTTATATGAATTTAACAGAGATTTAAAAATTATCTGCATATTTTTATTTGAACTTTCTCTCTTGGACTTTTCCTACAATTTAGAAACATTTCAAAAATTATATAAGGCCTGGATATCAGTCTGTTAAACTGGACTTTAATTTGAAGGAAAATTTCATTATTCTTAGCAATAAAATGATACTTTTATTTTTAAAGAAATTAATATGTTTTATACAGGGTGGCCCAAAACTGCGCGCACTGCATAGACCTTATAACTTAAATATTCCATGTTATGGTAATAGATTCTTCCAATATACAGGGTGTTTCAAATACATCTCTTCATTAAAAGTCCCATTCTAACTTTGAATAAAAAAATTAATGAAGGAGTATAATGCTATCCATGTACTCATGCATAGTAGGCGGAGGTGAGGATCCTTGACAGTTCTGTTTGACGATTCATTTGACACATTTGAATTCGATATGAAATTTTGAGGATTTGTCAGTCTTTACTGAGCTTATTTTATGTTATTTATTATTTATTTTACTACTGATTGTTTAAAGGTAGTAAATCTAGAAGGAAATTGTTGCAGAACTTAAATTAACAGTGGCACTATTGCGATTTATCGAAAAAGGCTGTAAAATAGTTGGTTGTATAGCGTGCGGTAGATCTCGGTCAAAAATCGACGGAAATAATGGAATAACTTTTCACTAGTAAGTAACTATGTAATATGCATACGTGTAGTAAACCAATCATTTATGAAATTCATTTAAAATTAACTAATTATACATGGTAGAGTCTTAAATAAGTACAAATATTTTCAGGGCTGGTAGATCTTGATAAAAGAAGATATTTTCTCTTTACCGCTTTTCAAATAAATCCAAAATAACCGAGTTATTTTACTTTAAAAAATTTCCAAAAAAAATGATATTTTGTAAAAATTTTGAGAACCACTGGATCTTTTATGGATTTTCTTTCTTGTAAATTTAATCTACTATCTATATTCCCATATTATCAACCAAGTATGTTTTTTAACTAAAAACAAAAAAAAATCCCAAAAATTTCTCAAAATGTTAATAATAAAAAAGTTTTTCCTCTTGTATGGACAATCTGGGGACATACTGTATTTCATTTGTACTTTTGTACCTAATCAAAATTTGATTTTTAAATGGCAACCTCGGTATTTTTTTTAAACTTTATTCAATAGAAAATGACATTCTGAAGAGAATGACATATCATATGTCAACTTTTTCGCTTAAAATAAAATTTAAACTTCAATCTAGAGTGCCATGGCTGTGTTAAAAACACTAGTTTTTAATCAAGGAGCCTTGGAAAAATCGATTTGATCGTCTAATGTTTTTTGTGTCTTGTCCGGACCGGTTAAAAGATGCCCAAATCGTATTTTTAATCATATCTCAATTTTTTCAAATGGAACGAGGGTGGCTCATTAGCATAATTTGGGGAAAGCATTTTTTTACGAATAATTTGGTACCACACACTTGGTATTTCGAGTCAAATTGTCGTTATGAATCGCACGTTGCAATTTCAAACAAACCATATTCGAAAATGTCAAAAGTTGACATATAATATGTCATTCTATTCAGAGTGTTATTTTCTATCGAATAAAGTAACAAAATACAGAGGGTGCCATTTAAAAATCAAAAGTTGCAGTCATTTCCGCTGAAACAGGAAGTGACCGAAAACAATCGAATACGTCAATCAATCCTAATTTATAGTATGATCAACGGACCTGTAGCTACGGAGTATCGGCAGGGGAACGCAGTTGTAAACAAGACACGCCCAATTTCATTCATAAAATAGGCATGGGCGTACGGTGTTTTATGAAAATAATGTGTATCATAAATATAAATTCTGATTAATAATTTTTTTTCAAAAAACTTTTTCTTGTTTGAATCGTTACTGTTGAGTTAGCAGATAAACACACTAAAAGCTTTTATTAAAGCTCCCTTAAATATTTTGAATAATTTTATTATTATGTGTTGTTAATATAATAGAAGAAATAATTACAGCTGGGGGTTGGAACCTTTGGTGTTACACAGCAAAATAAAACACTAAATCACCACAATACACCAAAACATTTTACTTTTACACTGGGCGCACGTTTCGCTAACCATGTTAACATCATCAGCAGATGATCAAGACTGAGTCTTGAGGTATATTTATTTATATATCTGTACTAACTATATTTTTTTCTACAGTACATAATTTTAGATATAACTATTTTCAGCAAAAAAAAATCTTGAAAATAGTTAACTTTGGAAGCGCAAATAAAACATAATTTTACTCACCAGCAGATAAAATATTGCCTATTACACCAGATATGGTATCGCTCCGCCAGCACTTTTTAAAGGTTAGGTCATTGTCTACCCATGTTTCATCCAAATAGATAATATTTGGCGATATTTTCGAATTTCGCGTATATATTTATATCTCTCTCTGCAATATAATGGGCTGCTCCATTAATATTTATCTGTTATTTTAACATTTACGCCAAAAAAATCCATTTGATTTTAATAACCCCCTAAGCGTTTTCTCTGCCAAAGGAAAATTCGATTCTTCTTGCAATTTTTGCAAAAGCTTTCTAATTGTGGGGACGACTTTGAATTCGAGATAAAATCTATTTATCAAATTCCTGACCACTTGGAAATCAAAGTCGTCGAGCTCACGTAGCCGTTTCTTTCCAGGGCTGGATATCATTTTATCGGGGTTAGTTTCCAGTCTTTTTTTATCTTCTGTGTGAATTTTTTTATAGCCGATACGCTAACTCCGGTATAAAGAGATATCCGCTCAAGTTAACGTTTAAGCGGCAACTTAAGCGAACTCTCTGTAGCTTCTTCGTCGCAAACCCTGTTATGAACACAAGGAAATAAACCAAATGAGATTTCATCCACGTTTATTTACATTTATTTTAGTTTAGCTAAAATATTTAGGTAAAATGGTTGCTTTTCATTTTAGCCAATATTTAATTTTAGTATTCTAATAATTACATTATTATTATTCTACTTACCTATATAAATTAGCTATTATTCCTCTTGTCCTGGCTATCTAGCGTCTTACCCTTAACAAATTTATTGATTTTAAAACACAAATATACGATCAAACTTAATATTAATAATTAAAAACTACGAACGAAAAACATTATAACAAGATAACAAAAAAGATAAAACACATTTTAACTATTAAATATACGAAAAATATCGGAATAAAGTATAAAATAATGAAAGAAAGTAATAATGATCAAAAGAATGACACCGCCACTGGATATTTCAATAGTATTCAATATTTCTACTCTTTTCAGAAGTGACCGTGAAGTTGGGGATAAGGCTAGCGAATAGGAAAGGCGTAAAAGTCATGGCAACCACGTGGTAACAAATCCTGTGACGTATTCTCGCCAATCATGTTCGATGAATAGGCGGCCATGCGCGGCGATGCCGAGAAATAAGTTATTAAATAAAACATATCCAACAATATGAACTACGTTAAAATTCCTTAGTAATATACGTCAGAATATATGCTAAACACATTATATATAATAAAAATATATTAGATTTATAGTTCATGTCTGGCAATTTTGCAATTTTATAGATAAACGTGGCAATATCGATTTTTTTTCTCGCATTCCTTCCGTAGCTTCAGATCCGCTGGTCAAA